GGTTGGGAACACTTCCCTCAGGTATTAACGTAAAAATAGCTCGGTAAACCAACTGAATAAAATGAAAATCCTAGAAATAGACACACATGTGATGTAATCGACTATGGGTTATTCTTGCCCACTACAGGGAAAAAACCAACTCACTGTGACAGCAGTATTGCAGTAGAGTAAGAGTTTAATGATTGCGTGGGTAGCCAATCAGCAGGGTGGGAGTATTACTCATACAAGCCTCCCGTAAAACTTGAAAGTTAGGGTTTTTCAAGGACAGTTTGGAGGGCAGGGGGCTAGGAAACGGGAGGTACTGATTGATTTACTTGGGGATGATATTGTAGCAGGTTTAAGCTATCTTCTTGTGCTGCGTCAGTTCCTGGATGGGGATCACAGAACCAGCTGAATTAGTTCAGTGGGCTGAGTCACAAGTCCAGGTGGAGTCCGTCAGTGGCCAGAATACAAAAGTCTGAAAAATACCTTCAAAGACTAATCTTAGGTTTTGACAATAGTGTTGTTATCTATCAAAGCAATTGGGGAAGATACAAATCTTGTGACCTTTGGAGCAGTAGATTGTTAAGAAAGGCAGACTAGGGAACAATGGCTGGTTATCGTTTAACTGCACCTACTGGCTTAGCAGAATTTAGGCCCCTCCCGTAATTCTAATCGTGTGTGGCCTTTCATTAGTCTTACAAAGGTGGTTTCAGGGCTAGTTTTGGGAAGGGGTTGTTATTTTTGTTTTAGAATCCGACAGAGGCAGGTAGCATGTGAGGTCAGAAGCAAGATGGAGTAAGGTTAGATTTCTCTCACTGTTATAATTTTTGCAAAGGCGGTTTCATTGCCATTTTTGCAAAGAGGTAACATTGCCAACCAATGGTTAAAAAAAAAAAAAAAAAAAGACTAAATTTTTATTTCTAAGCTGTAAATCACAATGTATCAGTGGGTTGTGAATAGGATAGAGTGCTTTTCACATGGTAAGAATAGGCATGATTTCCTGAATTTTTTGTTTGATTTATGTGTGTAGTAGGTACATACTGGTTCCAGATGAAAAATGTGCTTGACTATGACTTGTACCAAAAAAAAAAAAAAAAGCAAAAATGTTTAAAAGACACAGCAAAACCTGCTGATACAATTGGTTGTTTCTATGGAAAGAAGTTAAAATTTATCTCCACAAAATACAAAAATAATATACAGATAAATCAAAGACAAAAATGTGAAAACTTTAAATATTTAGAACATGGAGGAAATTGATGACCTTGACCAGAGCTTTTTTGGTAGAGTAGGAGTAGGGTTTAGAGCCAAAGTCTAATTGGAATGGGTTCACATGTGAGTAGACTAATTAGAATAACTATCAAAACAAAAGAAGTTTTGTAAGCCTTGGGTCTGCTTTTTAAAAAAATGAAAAAATGAAACACAAAAGGAGTTTTGTAACAATGAAAAGCAGTGTTAATAGGATTAATATCAAGGTGTTAAGCAACAGTGGCATTAAGCAATGTAGGGTTTGGGGGGTTGGGTTTCTTTTTTTTTGCCTTTTAACCTGAGACATTTTCATATGTTTATTTGTGGATGGGAATGGACTGCTAAATAATTACTGAAGGGTGCCTTTGAGTAGGCAAGAAAGGATTATATTTGGTTAGGGTCATTATTTTTTGCCTCTTTGCCCTAGACAATTCTAGTTTTCAGCTGTTCCTCCCCCACACCCGCCTCAACCCATCTGACTTAGCATTTGTCCCAGTTTTTTTAAATGTTATGGAGGTATCATTAGTAATTACATTAAAATAAGCTGGGATGGAGGATTTGGTAGATTTCCACTTTGTACTTCCAGCTTCTGCTAGTGTCTTGTCTAGTGGTATATGAGACATACGAGCATTGAATAGAGTTCCCCATTAAGCAGCCTATTGTGCCATACCCATGCTGTAAACTGGAAATGCATACATATGCTCTGACAGTTGGTAGAGTCATTTGGAATTTTATATATTGGGTATTTTTCAAGTAGATGCAGGAAATAGATGCATAACGATCCTGCCAGAGAGCATATGGAGAGTAGACCAAACACTTCCTACAATGGCTATGTTATTGGCTGTATGGTATAAATCTACAACTGTTTTTTTATTTTATTATTTGATACAATTTTATTTTGCAGTAAATCCTTTTGAAAGGAATAATTTTTTTAAAGTACCTATGTAATGAAAAGTTAAGGACTGCATTTTTGGTTTCTTAAGAAAATTGATAATGAATGGGTGGCAACACAAAGTTCGTCAGCATTTATTATCTTTCTTAAGGATCACAATAATATCTCTAACCACAGGAAATCTAGGAACATAAAGATGTACTTCAGAAGTTAATAATTAAGAACACTGTCCCAAAAGGTGACAGTTTATCACATGCAGTTATAGAAGGTATATTTTATATTACTCTGTGAAGCATAACTTCTCATTGAGATTAAAAGAAAATTATTTTTCTAAGTAAATTTAGCACACTGTTGATTCTAGTTTTCTTACTCATGTACGAAAACAAAGTGAAACAGAGCTGTTATTGAGAAGGCTCTATTAGTAGAAGAAATTTTCAACCAGGTAAAAGATATCAATTTAACATCGGTGTCATAGGATGCTTCAAATAGAAATTCATTAATTTCTAATAATGGCTTAAATTTTTTTCATCTAATTAATGAAATTCAGGTAGAACATTTGGAAATTAATTCTCCCAATAGTTAAATATCTGACATCATTGTGAATACTATTCAACTTGAAAGTTCAGCATTTAAGGTAAAGTGATAGTTTCACCCCTACTAGATTACTACCCTTAAGCCTCTTCTGTTAAAAAAAAAAACAAAAACAAAAACAAAACAAAACAAAAAAAAACCACTATAGCTGTCATTCTCTCTTTCTATATTATTTAGTACTAATAGAAAAATATCTGAATGTATATGTTTACCAATAACAAGTGATTACTTCTTGTAAGTTTTTGAATTTATTTTTTCTTTGCTCATTTCTGTTTTAGTTTTTCTGTAATAAACATAAGTTGAGATCAATTTTAATTAACTTACTCCTCTAAAACACACATACACAGCAAAAAAAGGCAAACAAAAACTAAAAAGGTGTGGTGAGGTGTTTCATTTTTTTTCCTTTTTAATTATTTGATTTCTTTAAGGAAAGGCAAGATATGAGACCACAGAAGACAAGAATTATGCAATTCCTCCAGCTGCCAATATGTGGAAGACCCATTTTAGAGTGGTGATAGGAGGCTAGTCTAAGGATCTGCATTTATATTTTATCCTTATTCTTTTCTTCCCTTAACTGGATACAGTTATAAAAAGTCCAGTAGTGGGATTGCTTTTCCTGTTATCAGGAAGGAAGTAACTAGTTTGCCTTATGTAATAAACATAGTTTCTTATGTAGTTAAGATAGTGATGCTACATTATATCTGTTTTTCAGCTTTCTTTAGATCTTTTGATTCCTGTGACTTACATAGCTTTTGTACATTTATCCATTTATCTTACCTTTTGGAATCTGTACCATTCTTTTAAGTGTATGTTTATATCTCATTTCCTAATTCCTCGATTTTTGCTGGCCTGCCTGGCTTCTGTTTTCATTCTTTACTTGTCCTGTATGTCTTACTATCACTTTAGTTGCTGACCTACCTAGACTCTATGCTTTAGTGTAATTTCCTACTCTATCACTATACTTGACTGTTAATCATTACCCTAATACTCACTGCAGATGCATCTCCTTTTCATGAGGAATTCTGTGAACAGATCAGTTAAAAATTACTTTGAAAATATGCATAATTTATCAGAATATTATTTCCAACTGAAAGAAAAGCTTTGAGTTTCTAATTACTGGAATTAAATTTAAGGTGTTGTCATATTTTTGTTTTTTCTTATCAGGCTAAAAGACCCCACTAGTCAGCTAGCTGCTAGCTAGTACTAAGAATGAGAGATTTTACTTGTTTCTGTTGCTTAATCTCTTCCAGCACAACCAACTTTATTGCCTTCTAAAATGGCCAAGTGGCAAATAGTGATTAATTCATCACTGGTTTACTGCAATTAAGAATTCATTTTACAACTTCATGGGCTTGAAGAAAGAGTATATACAACCTTTCCGTAGAACCTACTATTGACACTATAATTTGAGATATGTGACTATACAACCTACTTAACCTGTAAATGCTTTTTTGTTACGTAATTTGGGTGTGATTCAGTGATTTTATTTAGGTACTAATGCTACAACTTGTAAAATGGTACATGACATATATTGTAATATATAATTTCTACCTGTCTTTTGGTCCAGTTTATGGGGTAATTAATGGGCAGGTTGACTTTTTTTTTTTTTTTTTTAAATAGAGACAGAGTTTTGTTCTATTGCCCAGGCTGGAGTGCAATGGCACCATCAGAGGGCTCAAGTGATCCTCCTGCCTCAGCCTGTGATTATCTAGGACTACAGACACCTGCCACCATGCCCCACTAGTTTTTAAATTTTTTGTAGAAACAGTCTCTCACTATATTACCTGGGCTGGTTTCAAACTTCTGACCTAAAGGATTTCTCCCATGCTGGTCTCCCAAGTCACTGGGATTACAGGTGTGAGCCATCATGTCTGGCCTGACTTTTTCTTTTAACATAAATTTTAAGACGGTTGTCTTTGGTTTTGAATAACTGACTTTTAGTTGAGGTCATTCTCTCCAAAGCCATCTTAATTGTTTGTGTTTCATTCTCTTGCTCTTATGCATGATCCTTTGGTAAATGTATTTTTTTCCTAGGATGAGCTATTTATAAAGATACTTTATGCATGACAAAGATATATATACACACACACATACACACACACACACATACACACACATATATATATATTACAGTTAGAGAAAAAGAGCTATCTCTAATCCCAAGTCAAGAGTAATCTGATTCAAATTCACATGTTAATCCAACCCATATGTTATAGACCTAAACATAGACAAAAACCATGGCCACTTTGAGAGTTTTAATCTGGTATGTCATTTCAATTTTGTATTATAGGAAAGTTAAAGGAGGGAATATTGATGTACATCCATCAGAAAAAGCACTCATTGTTCAATATGAAGTGGAAGCCACCATTCTTGGAGAAATGGGGGACCCCATGTTGGGAGAACGAAAAGAATGTCAAAAAATGTAAGTTCTTTATTTGTGTACATTTTGAAATTAGAGAACATTATATAAACTTTATACAAATCTGATATTATTTTGATCTGCATAGGTGATTAATTATGGCATTCTTCCAGGCATACTTCATCTTAGTGAAGGAGAGATTATATTAAACTATAAATATGGAGTATATTAATCCTAGAAAAAGTAAGTTTTTTGTTAGCTTAATAGGAACCTGTTGTAACATATATATTCTAATTTATCCCATTTAGAAAATGAATGTAATAGATTTTGAACTACTAACTTGTGAAATCAACCATAAAAGATGTGTTTCATGTTTCTTTTTTTTTAATTTTACTTTAAAGTTCTGGGATTCATGTGCAGAATGTGGAGGTTTGTTACATAGGTATACATGTGCCATGGTGGTTTGCTGCACCTATTAACCCGTTATTTAGGTTTTAAGCCCTACATGCATTAGATATTTGTCCTAATGCTCTCCCTCCCCTTACCCCCCTACCTCCTGATAGGCCCTGATGGGTGATGTTACCTTCCCTGTGTCCATGTGTTCTCATTGTTCAATCCCCATTTATGAGTGAGAACATGTGGTGTTTGGTTTTCTGTTCCTGTGTTAGTTTGCTGAGAATGATGGCTTCTAGCTTCATCTATCTCCGTGCAAAGGACATGAACTCATTCTTCTTATGGCTATATATTATTCCGTGATGTATATATGCCACATTTTCTTTATCCAGTCTATCATTGATGGACATTTGGGTTGGTTCCAAGTCTTTGCTATTGTAAATAGTGCTGTAATAAACCTATGTGTGAATGTGTCTTTGTAGTAGAATGATTTATAATCCTTTGGGTATATGCCCAGTAATGGGATTGCTGGGTCAAATGGTATTTCTAGTTCTAGATCCTTGAGGAATCACCACACTGTCTTCCACAATGGTTAAACCAATTCCAATTTCGCCACAGCCTGAGCAGCATCTGTTGTTTCCTGACTTTTTAATAATCACCATTCTAACTGGCATGAGATGGTATCTCATTGTGGTTTTGATTTGCATTTCTCTAGTGACCAATAATGATGAGCTTTTTTTCATGTGTTTCTTGACCACATAAGTGTCTTCTTTTGAGAAGTGTCTGTTCATATCCTTTACCCACTATTTGATGGGGTTGTTTGTTTTTTCTCTTGTACATTTGTTTAAGTTCCTTGTAGATTCTGGATATTAGTCCTTTGTCAGATGGGTAGATAGAAAAATTTTCTCCCATTCTGTAGGTTTCCTGTTCACTCTGATGATAGTTTCTTTTGCTGTGCAGAGGCTCTTTAGTTTAAATAGATCCCATTTGTCAATTTCGGCTTTTGTTGCAATTGCTTTTGGTGTTTTAGTCATGAAGTCCTTGTCCTTGCCTATGTCCTGAATGGTATTGCCTAGGTTTTCTTCTAGGGTTTTTATGGCTTTGGGTTTTACATTTAAGTCTTTAATCCATCTTGAGTTAACATTTGTATAAGGTGTAAGGAAGGGGTCCAGTTTCTGTTTTCTACAAATGGCTAGCCAGTTTTCCCAGCAGCATTTATTAAATAGGAAATCCTTTCCCCATTGCTTGTTTTTGTCAGGTTTGTTGAAGGTTAGATGGTTGTAGATGTGTGGTGTTATATCTGAGTCTCTGTTCTGTTCTATTGGTCTATATTCCTGTTATGATACCAGTACCATGCTGTTTTGGTTACTGTAGCCTTGTAGTATAGTTTGAAGTCAGGTAGCATGATGCCTCCATTTTTTGCTTAGAATTGTCTTGGCTATACAGGCTCATTTTTGGTTCTGTATGAAATTTAAAGTACTTTTTTGTAATTCTGTGAAAAAAATCAATGTTAGCTTGATGGGAATAGCATTGAATCTGTAAACCTTGAACAGTATGGCCATTATTATGACATTGATTCTTCCTATCCATGAGCATAGGATGTTTTTACATTTGTCTGTGTTATCTCTTATTTCCTTGAGCAGCGGTTTATAATTCTCCTTGAAGAGGTCCTTCACCTCCCTTGTAAGTTGTATTCCTAGGTGTTTTATTTTCTCTGTAGCAGTTGTGATTGGCTCTCTGCTTGTCTATTGTTGGTGTATAGGATTGCTTGTGATTTTTGCACTTGCATTTTGTACACTAAGAATTTGCGTAAGTTGCTTATCAGCTTAAGGAGTTTATAGGCTGACACGATGGGGTTTTCTAAATATACAATCATGTCATCTGTAAACAGATACAATTTGACTTCCTCACTTTCTATTTGAATACCCTTTACTTCTTTCTCTTGCCTGACTGCCTTGGCCAGAACTTCCAATACTGTGTTGAATAGGAGTGGCATCCTTGTCTTGTGATGGTTTGCAAAGGGAATCCTTCCAGCTTTTGCCCATTCAATATGGTATTGGCTATGTGTTTGTCATAAATAGCTCTTATTATTTTGAGATATGTTCCATCAATACCTAGTTTATTGAGAGTGTTTAACATAAAAAGATGTTGAATTTTTTCGAAGGCCTTTTCTGCATCTGTTGAGAAAATCATGCAGTTTTTGTCCTTGGTTCTGTTTATGTGATGGATTACTTTTATTGATTTGCATATGTTGAACCAGCCTTGCATCCCAGGGATGAAGCTGACTTGGTCGTGGTGGTTAAGCTTTTTGATATGCTGCTGTATTCAGCTTGCCAGTATTTTATTGATGATTTTCACATTGATGTTCATCAGGGAAATTGCCCTGAAATTTTCTTTTTTTTTTGTTGTGTCTCTGCCAGGTTTTGGTATCAGGATGATGCTGGCCTGATAAAATGAGTTAGGGGGGAGTCCCTCTTTTTCTCTTGCTTAGAATAGTTTCAGAATGAATGGTGCCCACTCCACTGTGTACCTCTGGTAGAATTCTGCTGTGAATGCATCTGTTCTTGGCCTTTTTTTTTTTTTTTTTTTTTGGTTGGTAGGCTATTAATTACTTCCTCAATTTCAGAAGTTGTCATTAGACTATTCAGGCATTCGACTTCTTCCTGGTTTAGTCTTGGGAGGGTGTATGTATCCAGGAATTTATTAGTTTCTTATAGATTTTCTGCTTTATTTGCTTCAAGGTGTTTGTAGTTTTCTCTGATGGTAGTTTGTATTTCTGTGGGATCAGTGGTGGTATCCCCTTTATCATATTTTATTGTGTCAATTTGATTTTTCTCTCTTCTTTATTAGTCTAGCTAGCAGTCTATTTTGTTAATTTTTTTAAAAAATAGCTCCTGGATTCATTGATTTTTGAAAGAGTTTTTTGTCTCTATCTCCTTCATTTCTGCTCTGATCTTAGTTATTTCTTGTCTTCTGCTAGCTTTTGACTTTGTTTGCTCTTGCTTCTCTAGTTCTTTTAATTTTGATGTTAGGGTGTCAATTTCAGATCTTTCCACCTTTCTGATGTGGACATTTAGTGCTATAAACTTCCCTCTACACTCTCCTTAAGCTGTGTCCCAGAGATTCTGGTACGTTGTCTCTTTGTTCTCATTGGTTTCAAAGAACTTCTTTACTTCTGCCTTAATTTCATTATTTACCCAGGAGTCATTCAGGACCAGGTTGTTCAGTTTCCATGTAGTTATGCAGTTTTGAGTGAGTTTCTTAATCCTTAGTTCTAATTTGATTGCACTGTGGCCTGAGAGACTCTTTCTTATGATTTCCGTTCTTTTGCATTTGCTGAGGATTATTTTACTTCCAATTATGTGGTCGATTTTAGAATAAGTGCCATGGGGCACTTAGAAAAATGTATATTCTGTTTATTTGGAGTGGAGAGTTCTGTAGATGTCAATTAGGTCCACTTGGTCCAGAGCTGAGTTCAAGTCCTGAATATCCTTGTTAATTTTCTGTCTTGTTGATCTGTCTATTATTGACAGTGGGGTATTAAAGTCTCCCACTATTATTGTGTGGGAGTCTAAGTCTCTTTGTACGTCTCTAAGAACTTGTTTTGTGAATCTGGGTGGTCCTGTATTGGGTGCATATATATTTAGGAGAGTTAGGTCTTTTTGTTGCATTGAACCCTTTACCATATGTAATGCCCTTCTTTGTCTTTTTTGATCTTTTTTGGTTTAAAGTCTGTTTTATCAGAGACTAGAATTGCAATCCCTGCTTTCCCCCCCCCCCCCCATTTGCTTGGTAAATAGTCCTCCATTCCTTTATTTTGAGCCTAAGTGTGTCTTTGCATGTGAGATGGGTCTCCTCAATACAGCACACCAATGGGTCTTGACTCTATCCAATTTGCCAGTCTGTGTCTTTCAATGGAAGCATTTAGCCCTTTCACATTTAAGGTTAACATTGTTGTGTGTGAATTTGATCCTGTCATCATACCGGTAGCTGATTATTTTGCACATTAGTTGATGTAGTTTCTTCACAGTGTCATTGGTCTTTATATTTTGGTGTGTTTTTGCATTTGGCTGGTACCAGTTTTTCCTTTCTATATGTAGTGCTTCCTTCAGGAGCTCTTGTAAAGCAGGCCTGGTGGTGACAGAATCCCTCAGCATTTGCTTGTCTGGAAAGATTTTTATTTCTCCTTTTCTTATGAAGCTTAGTTTGGCTGGATATGAAATTCTGTGTTGAAAATTATCTTCCCTAAGAATGTTGAATATTGACCCCTACTCTCTTCTGGCTTGTAGAGTTTCTGCAGAGAGATCTGCTGTTAGTCTGAGGGGCTTCCCTTTGTAGGTGACCTGACCTTTCTCTCTGGCTACCCTTAACATTTTTTTCCTTTGTTTCAACCTTGGAGAATCTGATGTGTCTTGGGACTGATCTTCTCAAGGAGTATCTTAGTGGTGTTCTCTGTATTTCCTGAATTTGAATGTTGGCCTGTCTTGCTAGGCTGGGGAGGCTCTCCTGGATAATACCCTGAAGTGTGTTTTCCAACTTGGTTCCATTCTCCCTGTAACTTTCAGTTACACTAATCAATCGTAGGTTTGGCCTTTTCACATAGTCCCATATGTCTTGGAGGCTTTGTTTGTTCCTTTTCATTCTTTTTTCTCTAATCTTGTCTTCGTGCCTTGTTTCAGCAAGGTGATCTTCAGTCTCTGATACTCTTTCTTCTGCTTGATTGATTTGGCTATTAATACTTGTGTATGCTTCACGAAGTTTTCATGCTGTGTTTTTCAGCTCCATCAAGTCATTTATGTTTCGTCTAAACTGGTTATGCTAGTTAGCATTTCCTGTAACCTTTTATCATGGTTCTTAGCTTCATTGCATTAGGTTAGAACGTGCTACTTTAGCTAAGAGTAGTTTGTTATTACCCACCTTCTGGTGCCTACTTCTGTCATTTCATCAATCTCATTCTCCATCCAGTTTTGTGCCCTTGCTGGAGAGGACTTGCAATCATTTGGAGAAGAGGCATTCTGGTTTTTGGAATTTTCAGCGTTCTTGTGCTGGTTTTTCCTCATCTTCGTGGATTTATCCTTTTTGATCTTTGAGGCTGATGACCCGTGGATGGGGTTTTTGTTGGGGGGTATTTTTTGTTGTTGTTGTTGTTGCTCTCTGTTTGTTAGTCTTCCAACAGCCAGGTCCGTCTTCTACAGGTCTGCTGAAGTTTGCTGGAATTCCACTCTAGACCCTGTTTGCCTGGAGGCTGCAGAACAGCAAATATTGCTGCCTGCTCCTTCCCCTGGAAGCTTCGTCTGATGCCAGCCAGAGATCTCCTATATGAGATGTCTGTCAACCCCTGTTGGGAGGTCTCTCCCAGTCAGGAGGCACAGGGGTCAGGGACCCACCTGAGGAGGTAGTCTGTCCCTTAGCAGAGCTGGTGTGCTGTGCTGGGAGAATTCCCCCTGTCAGGATCAGCTGCTCTCATCAGAGCCAGCAGGCAGGAAAGATTAAGTCCGCTGAAGCTGTGCCCACAGCCACCCCTCCTGCCAGGTTCTCTGTCCCAGAGAGATGAGTTTTATCTGTAAGCCCCTAAGGCTGCCGCATTTCCTTTATAGGTGCCCTGTCCAGTGAGGAGGCATCTAAAGAAGCACTTTGCCACACTGTGGTGAATTCTACCCAGTCTAAACCTCCCAGTCTCCTTAGCACTGTCCAGGGAAAACTGCCTACTACAGCCTCACTGATGGCAGGCCCCCCTCCCCTCACCAAGCTTGATCATCCCAGGTCAACTCCAGACTGCTGTGCTGGCAGTGAGAATTTCAAGCCAGTGGTTCATAGCTTTCTGTGCTCCATAAGAGTAGGACTCACTGAGTGAGACCACTTGACTCCTTGGCTTCAGCCCCGTTTCCAGGGAAGTGAACAGTTCTGTCTTGCTGGGGTTCCAGGCACCACTGGGGTATCAAAAAAACTCCTGCAGCTAGCTCAGTGCCTACCCAAACAGCCGCCTGGTTTTGGGCTTGAAATCCAGGGCCCAGGTGGTATTGGCTCACAAAGGATCTCCTGATCTGTGGACTGCAAAAACTGCGGGAAAAGCATAGCACCCGGGCCGGGTAACACAGTCCCTCACACCTTCCTTTGGCTGAGGGAGGGATGTCCCCCGGCTCTTTGCACTTCCTGGGTGAAGTGATGTCCTCCCACCCCGCTTCTGCTCACTCTCCATGGGTTGTACCCACTGCCTAACCAGTCCCAATGTGTTGAACTGGATACCTCAGTTGGAAATGTAGAAATCACCCACCTTTTGCGTTGATCTCACTTGGAGCTGCACACTGGGGCTGTTTCTATTCAGCCATCTTGGACCCTCCTCATGCCTCTAGATGTCTACCCAAATGAGTTGAAAACATGTTCACACAAAAAGCTGCACTTGAATGTTTATAGCAGTTTTACTCATAATTGCAAGCAATTGGAAGCAAACTAGAGGTCTTTTTAGAGTTTTTCTCTTCTCTGTATTGACCTTTCTCTCTATGCCTTCTGATATGCAGCTAAGACTACATAAAAATATAATAAAATTAAAGGACTTACAAGGTAGAAACCAAAAAAAAAAAAACAAATAAGTTAAAGAAGAAATAAAGGGACAGAATATTGCTAGAGTTCTTCTTGTAAACATTAGAAACCACTCTAACAAATTTAAACAGAAAAGGAATTTATTAAAAGCGATTACATAGCTTGTAGAACCCCAGGATAACCAGATTTGGGGTTGAATATATAGCTGGGAATAATATCTAAGTCATTCTGCTGGAATGGTTTCAGGAGAAATCATCTGTGTATGAATAATAAGCTTACAGGACATTGCTCTGAGATCTCCACTCCTGCTCCTTCTAATTCCTTGATGTCTTCCAACAAAAAATTAGCCATCTTTAACACAAAATAATTCTACACAGTGGCTGCTTGCTTATTTTTCTCTTTTTGAAAAGAAGCTTGCATGGGAGCATCTGCTTGACAGTCTTTTGCCACCAGGTTGACTCTTCACTTTGAATCTAATTTTATGTCTTTATACCTCTTCCTGGTACCCTGAATCCCCTAACTAGGCAATTGTTTCCAAACTCTTAATAATGGTTTCTTAATGGGTTCCCAGTGAATCTCCTGGGCTAACTTTAAAAAGAGGGAGGTGTTGGCTTATTATTGTTAATGCACTAACCTAAGTATAAAATGTATTCATTTGTTCCTCAAAATTCCTCATATAGATCTTAAAGTGGATCTCACTTTTTTTTTTTTTTTTGAGACGGAGTCTTCCCCTGTCGCCCAAGCTGGAGTATAATGGTGCGATCTTGGCTCACTGCAACCTCTGCCTCCCAAGTTCAAACAATTCTCCTGCCTCAACCTCCCGAGTAGCTGGGATTACAGGCGCACACCACCACACCTGGCAAATTTTTTGTATCTTTAGTAGAGACGGATTTTCACCATATTGGCCAGGCTGGTCTCAAACTCCTGACCTTGTGAGCCCCCCACCTCAGCCTCCCAAAGTGCTGGAATTACAGATGTGAACCACTGTGCCCAGCCGGATTTCATTTTCTTTTGCTTTTACTTTCTATATAATTACCACCAGAACAACTGAATCTGAACATATCAATATTGTGTTTTGTCCCTAGCTGAAAAAAAGTTAGCATTTGTGGGTATAGTCAAGAAAATGATTTATTTATGATGGTATGAATTCTTACATTTGATAATGCTAAAGACTTTATATATTTTATATCAGAAATACCATTTTAAAACAGAATCTCCAAATATGCTGTCTTGCCTAGAGAGTTGGAAGAAGATTTTGTGTTCCTTTTGTTATTTTGTTTGTCTAGCTCACAGAAAATCACTGCCTTGTATTTTTCTAAGTCTAATTATATCTAATACTTTATTTTACTAAGAATCTATGGCCAGATTCTCTATAATAATTTATAACCTATAAATTATTTTAAAGTAGTAGTATTGCAGTTATTACTTTTATAATACGTGAGTTGAAAAATTCTGTCATACCTACAGCATTCGACTTAAGAGTCTCAATGCCAACACAGATATAACTTCCCTGGCAAGGAAGGTGGTTGAAGAATGTAAACTCATTCATCCTTCAAAACTAAATGAGGTAGAACAGCTGTTGTACTATCTACAGAACCGCTGTGATTCATTGTCAGGAAAAGGTAAGTAGTAGAATTCCTGGCTTCCTAATGCAGATCCAAAGTTGTTTATAGTTTGTCAAACAACTATAAACAAAAGTTTATCAAACTATTGATATTTGATGTTGGGTAGGTTTTTTTCACCAGTGCTATGAATGAGTAAACAACAAAGAATAAACATTAAATGCTTTCATGATAGGCTTTATATTAGATGCTTCCACATAAAATGGTCTAATCCTTTTTTCATGTTTTGTGTATGTACACATATACTGAAGTAAGAATAAAAAAGGAAATGTCTGTCATATTGATTCTAGAATAATAAAAGGAAAGAATTTGGGGCAGAAAACCTGTTTTCACTGCACCAACTAGACTGATACTTTATAAGCTTCTTTTTTATATTTGTTTGTCATTTGGACGGATTATGTAAGTGTTAAAATATATATCATATGCCTTAGACTATCCAACGGATATAACTTTCATGAATTATTTTTCTTTGTTTCCTTTTTTTTTGGCAGCAGCAGCAAGAAAAAAGTTTAATTTGGGGGTCACCAAACTAGGAGATGAGAGAAAACCTCAAATCCATCTCCCTGAGAAGTTTGGGGCTAGAGTTTTTAAGGATTTTGGATTGGGCTGAAGTGTGGAGATTGTTGATTGGTCAAAGAGTGTAAGGTGAAGTAATGGGACAGGATGATGAAGAAGCTGTATTCTCATGCTGATTTATTTCCTCTATGAGGGTCTTCCGACTGGTTGGCGTCAGCTGTTTCACTGCAACTCAGGGTCTGAAAAACATTTTAAATGATCCTTAAGCAAAATCCTTATGATTCTTAACGTCAGAGATCCTGTCTGTAAGAACATGGGGATGTAAATGGTCAGTATGTAGTGCTATGTGACTTTAGCAGCAAGGTAATGAGCCAAAGTGTAGCCTAATTAATGCTTAGTTATAACTATATTTCTGTCTGGAACAGAGTTCAAGTCAGAAGAATGGAAGAAAATTTTGAAAATGTTAGTTTGAAGACTTGTAGCCAGGAAAGAATTCAGGTTTAGTTCAAATTGTAGAAAACAATAAAAACCCAAAAATAATAGACAAGGCTAGAATCTAGTAACAGGTATACTATCGTTTCTTTTGAAACAAAATTTTTATCTCCAGTATGCCATTTCTACCAAAGACAAATTATAGTAGGACCAATTTATTTCCAAAATAAGTCTTATTATACTTGGCCTATTTGCATAAAGTATGGCAAGAATATTCATTGGCCATATAGGCTCTTTTAAGTTGACTTTGCAGGAACTTTTCCATAAGGAATCTTAATTTAGACTTTTTGAAAGCCTCAAGGTTAGCTAAACCAAGGATTTATCCATGCCTGCAGACACCTGTATGAATTGGGTGAACTCATTTCTTGTGGAGGTCCCAAAATAACTTGAGGTTTCTGGATCTGTTGAAAGTAACATTTTTTACTTATCACAGGTGAGGAACCCTAAAAAGAAACTACATAGACAAGGTAGAAGGCTAGTCTTTCCGAGGGGCTTTTATTGGCTCTATAAAGTCAACATCAATTCCTCAAAGCAGCTTAGTCATATCTGAAAATATGCCAATCCAGTCAAAGCCTTGGTAAAGTAACCAGCATCTGCAATTGTGTCCTGCTACAAAAGAAAGCAGATTCTTATTGAACTTATACAAATAACTATATTGCCATAAAATAATACTTATGAATGAAGTTTCCACATTTGTGAGAACTCAGGTAGAAAGGCAAATTTTGCTCATAAAGATGTACTTTACTTGTCATAAGCTATAAATAGCTCAAAAGAAAAAAAAAGTTTTCTTGACTCGTCTTCAGTCAGAGTAGCCGACTTCCAAACAGGATGTTGTCTGTTCACCTTGGAATTGCCTTTCATAAATCAGGCAGCTCTTTGTCAGTCAAGTAAGAGCTGTTTAACGGGCACCATAGAATCCTGCAGCTTCTCACACAGTTTCAGAGTCAATCCTGGGGAAACAGAGACTCCCTGCTCATGAGTATCTCCTCCTTGAATTTCCCAAGTAGCATGATCATATACAAAGTATCTCCATTTTATTATGGAGCTCTTCTGGGCACTGCTGTCCCCAGTTAGACTGTTTCTGACATTGCCCCAAATAGCATGGGTATTTCAGATGTCATGCTCATTGTATGTCCTTCCATCATAGGATGTCTTCAGTTAATGTCCTGTATCAAGGCAGTAAATGCCTCTTAAGTGGAAATTCTCTAGTCCAGAGTCACAGCAGTCATCACTGGGATGTGCTCACAGACTTTTGCTGTAAGCCTCAGTAAACATTCCACAAAAGGCTATCAAGTGGATAATTTGTTCCTACCAGCACTCCAGCTTCTATTCTATATTCTTTGGGCTCGGGCAATCTTATTGGTTCCCATTGTAGTATGTCCAGTTAATTATAGCTTGAAGGGCAGATTTGCATGCCTTCAGTTTTATAATACTAGGTAGAGAAAACATCCCCTAGTCAGATACAATATCCATTTTCATAAGACATTTAGGTAAAGAATACACAATTACTTACAAAAAGCCTATATAAACATTTCAACTTTGGTAATCCTATCCACCCTTAATTTTTATGTTCTGGTCCTGGCAATTTCTCTTCACTCCCAGACCATTTTACCCTCTCCTGTGAAAAGAGATTTGGGTTCCCAGCAGAGGGTTTAGCTAAGGGACCAAGGCTTTTTAGTCAATCTTTATGTTGATTAGTCACCTCAACATCACCCTAGGCAATTGTTGGTCAGTTTTCTCATTCTGATCTTTGTCTTCTGATTTTTTAAAAAATGTCTCCAATTGGGGTAAGTACAGAAAACTGATTTGGTACCCTTTAATATTAGGGGAACCAGCAATTAAGGCCTTTATTTAAATGCCATCAATTTCCATTTTATTCATTCAATTTCTTAATAACTGTCTAAAGATTTTCATTCTGCTGGGATGAGTCCCCTGACTCTCCCCTTTTCTTTTCCTCTTAGTTTTACTCCTATCAATGTTTTCTTCATTCATCATATTTCTTAATAACTGTTTAAAACTTCCCATCTTCCTGGGATGCATCCTTTGACCCTCCCCTCTACCCTTAACCATTCCCTTGTTAATGAACCTCATATTTTCTGTTAGTATCTGTAAGACCCATGAGGAGAAGCTGACCATGACCTGGGTAATGGGCATATTCAAGGGGTGAATATCCCTGTCATCATAATGCCAGTCCCATATGGCTTGCATACAAACCACATTAGCTGCTTCATCTGGGGTACTCCACTTGGCAGTTATAGGTAGAGTCGGGCAGTCCCCTTTCTTAGGGTAAAGAGACCTTACAGTGGCTTTTATCCAATTCATTAGGCTCTTTCCTCACTAATCATGTCCTGTTTGTCTGGTTCATGTATAATCATTTGCAATTGTTTAATTGTGAGCAGTGGGTACCATACCAACCCAAACACGTTCTTTCACTCTGCAGCATTTAAAACCAAAGACACTGCTCCCAAATTAGTTACTCTCATAAGCCATTTCAGTATAGTTTCCTCAGGGAGCTGATTATATTAATCTATAAAATAAAAAGGTGGAGGATAAGGAACCTTTGATTCCTGGGTGACCATGTGGTCATCCATGGCATGGAACTGCAGCTGGGCTGTGCCCAATTACTAAAGGTAAAAGTTACAGTGAATTTGGAGATGGATACAACTTCTGGGGAGTTGGTTCACTGGATGCATAAGGAAATGCAAACTAATACGAAAAAAGCATAATATTCAATTCCTTGCTTGTTGTCATCTATAATGGCTAAAATGACAGTAAAACGGATTGCTGGTTGGGCCTTAAGGCTAGAGAAAGCTTAGATGTGGGTCTGTGTGAGCTCAGGTCACTAGCCTTGAAGCTACCCACAAAAGCAGAAAATTATGTCAGGGCAATAGAAAATGCCTCTGTGACCTGTGTTCTCCAAGAAGGTAGCCAATGTGGAGGAAGAGCAAAATGAAGTAATTATTGAAACCAGAGTATACAGTGTAAAGGAATTGTTCTATTTTATAGAGCTCCCACTCGGTCACAGGTCAAGTTTTCAAGGACATAAAACAAGATGAGAGGAGCCCTCAGTTAGTACCTTCTCTTTATGAAGAGCACAGAAAGACAAAGAAAAGATTATTTCTGGAAAGAAAGGGAACAATATGAATATTAATAAACCAAAAAGTACACCAGAGTCAGTATTTCCCAAGACTAGTCATACACATCTTTTTCTCCTATTAATCAAAACCTTGCAGGAAACTGATTTTTTTACCTTTTGCTCAGCCAGATTCTACACAGAGAGATCAGGAACCTGACTGGTAAATGATTCTTACTACCCTGTTGCCCCCTTGTTGGGTTCCTGGATTCTCTTAAACTGTGGCTTCCAAAAGAGCAGAGCTTTGATCACCCTGCTTGCTGATTATGAAAGAAAACCATTTTCTTTGTTTTCATGGGTTCATAGGTGAAAGCTGCCCAGTTTTGCAAGATAGAATCCAAGGGGCTGCTTGAGGTAAGAGGGATCAAGTTAGCATTTCCTGTATCGACCGAGAGAAAATTACAATATACACATAACAAAGACAAACACTAGTTACTTGGCTTAGTATCCAAGTTTTAACCTAGCAAAACAGATAAAACAGACCCCCCTTTCCACTTGTTAGGCCCACTGAACTTCTGCTAATGTTTCCTTCTGGGTTCCCCACATACAAACAGGACAAGATAAGAACAGACATGAGACCCCGGTAAGTCAGAACTCTAAAACCAGGTTTCATAACTGAAACCAAATCATCCAGGAGTACTACCCCCAAACATTGCCCTTTATTCTCCTTCCAATTGGGAAAATCCCCCTTAAACGGGGCCCTTTTTGCAGATTAGGAAGCGTCAACAGGACCTCTGAAGAGGCAACAGGACCTTTAAGGAGGCCAACAGATCAGGAGAAGGCAAAAGGGATGTCAATTGCGCTTGGGAATACTTACCGGAGAAGTCTTTCAGATTCAGAAACTGTTTCTCTACTCCAAGCAAGCTTATGTGAAGGTCGGCAATGCCTTGCTGGCAAGGGAGGCAGCAGAGACAGCCCCTGGCTTAAAGAAGCCAGGCAGCCACTTGGATTCATCTCCGGGCCTCTGAAATGTCAAGAGGTTACCGAGCCACAGGCAGATGCCCACGATGGGTATCCCTTTATGAGTTCACCACTAAATTGTAACCACACCTGGCTAATTTTTTACATTTTTTGTAGAGATGGGAGTCTCACTGTGTTGCCTAGGCTAGTCTCAAACTCCTGGGTTCAAGCGATCCTCCTGCCTCGGCTTCCCAAAGTGCTGGGGTTACAGGCATGAGGCACTGTGCCCAGCTGGTGCTCTTAAAATAATATATCAGTGCTGAAGTTTTGATTGGACTAAGTAGGAAAAAAAAAGAAAATTTTGTTTGGAATTTTTTCAAATTAGTCTCTCTTCATACACAGCAAATAAAATGCCTTGTACTTAATATATACTTTTATTAGCTGTGAATACAGTGTCTAACATAGATGGTCAACATATATTTGTTGAATGAATTAAATGGTTGTAAATTTATTTAAAAGCAAAAAGGGCCGGGTATGGTGGCTCACGCCTGTAATCTCAGCACTTGGGGAGGCCGAGGCGAGCAGATCACGAGGTCAAGAGATCGAGACCATCCTGGCCAACATGGTGAAACCCCATCTCTAGTAAAAATGCAAAAATAGTTGGATGTGGTGGTGCATGCTTGTGACCCCAGCTACTCAGGAGACTGAGACAGGAGAATCGCTTGAACCCAGGAGGCAGAGGTTGCAGTGAGTCAAGACCGTGCCACTGCACTCCATCCTGACAACAGAGCAAGACTCCGTCTCAAAAAAAAAAAGCAAAAATAGACATTTTGAACGTGATTACTTCTAATCACATACCTGGCATTCAGTTAAGTACTATGTAGATAAGGAAAATATTATCAAGGAAAATTTGTATTAAGTATTTTGTTAATAGAATATTCTTGTTAAGATGTCTGTAAATGATGAGAGATCACATAGTCCAATAAATCCAAGGAGAAAAGCAAATCTGGTAGTCTTTTAAGGTCTGTGTCTACTTATTGTAGGTTGTACAGTATAGTTAAAGTTGATCTTTCCTAGTGCCAAATTAATATTATTCTGAAGGCATTTAGAATAAAGTATCTTTGAACCAGTAAAAACTCTTTCACTGTGTTTTCAGGGCAAATCAGTGGTTTTACCTTGCTCCCCAGAAATTAGAGGAATATGAAAAAATGTTCATGTCATCATACATGGATAAAATAATTCAAATCAATATTTTCTCTATCTGGATAGAGTATTATTAATAATTGAAGACACAGGAAATGCTTTAGGAAGTGTATATTAAATATACGCTTTTTTTTTACACTACTGGTTTTCTTTGTTAAAATTATTTTACTTGGCAAGCGGTATTCCAAAGCCAGAAATCTTATCTTAAAAGCAATTGAAACAATAATACTTACTTGGTTATGTAATTCATTACATTCAGTGATTTTTTTTGCATAATTAAAACCACTGTCTTAGTAAATTATCTCTCTGAAGCAGAATTAAGCTGTTGAGAATGTATGATCTTATATAGAATGAGTGTTGTCCTCTGAAAATAATGACTAATTCTATCATATATTTATTTGCTAATTATGGAATCAAAAATTTTGATAACATTCTAACTTACTTTAATGTACATACATTACTTAGACTTATAATCCAGATCAATAAAGTATTTGATAGTTTTTTTGTTAAAAAATGAAATTATGCCATTAATTAGATAATTCAATATAAACGAATGGCTCAAACTTGTGTTCAACACCTTTGGATAACTTTATTTGGGAATAAGTGGGGATTTAATTAATATAAGTAATAAATATTTGCCTTTTAATTTATGATGTTAATTTTACTTGTTAAAAAAGAACCAGTTAACAACTATTCTATATCTTAGGTTTTAAATTTACCAATTTTTATTTCTTTGTGCTTTGTTAATTTTCATTTTAGTTTTTATATTACTCAAGTCATACTTTTTTCTTTGCCTTATTGATTTTCCTATTCCTACCTTAAATTTGAATTAGGAAGGGAAAGAGAGGATACTTAGAACAGACTATTTTGCTGCTTGTTGGCAAGTCTGACTGTATACCTTACATACCCAAAAAGTTAACCAAGGAGGAAGTTGGTGATTAGTTATAGATTTTATTAATTTATACTCTCCTTGATATCCTCATTTGATCAAATTGATTATATATGAGCATTTTTATACATTGAAAAGAGATTATTTCATAAACTGGTTTTAATATCCCCAGTTTAGCTAGAATTAAACTCAGCTGCTGAAAATAAAAATTACCTAGAAACCCTAAAAACCTAATTCTCCTTATTTTAAAAAAAAATCTTGTTACAGAGAAAAAAGAAAAATCAAGCAAGCCTAAAGATCCACCTCCTTTTGAAGGAATGGAGGTAAGACTGCATGCGTTCTGATCTAATAGAGGACTGAATTATAAGATATTGCCTTTTTCCATCAATAATGCACACAATCACATTAAGCACATGTGGTATTTTTTTTAAATGACTGAACTCAGGTACCTGAGAAAGGTAGAAAACCATTATTTAATTGAAAAAGACAAAAAGTATTGGTTCTGCTTTTTTTTTTTTGCGTGATCTCGGCTCACCACAACCTCTGCTTCCCGGGTTCAAGCGATTTTCCTGCCTCAGCCTCCTGAGTAGCTGGGATTACAGGCGCGTGCCACCACACCCAGCTAATTTTTGTATTTTTAGTAGAGACGGGGCTTCACCATGTTGGTCAGGCTGGTCTCAAACTCCTGACCTTGTGATCTGCCCGCCTCGGCCTCCCAAAGTGCTGGGATTGTAGCTGTGAGCCGCCGTACCTGTGGCTGGTTGTGCTTTCTAAACAATTAATTTTGGTAAATGATGGGCAAAAATGTTTACATATTCTTATTGTAATATGTTTTGAAATATTGTTTAATCTACTATAGTAGATACAAATATTTTTTATTACATTTAAGATACTTTATATTGATAAACAATTTTTAAAGTTTATATACATCTCATTTTATCATGGGGTTTTGTATTAGAGTCCTAGGTCTAAAGATCTAAAATTTCCCCATTGAAAAAGATGGTTACTATGAGTTCTTTGGAAGTTTCTGTATTGTTATATCTGTATTGATCACAAAATATTATTTCTTTGACAGTGGATCTGTTGAGCATTGTTGATGAGTACTTTCTGCTTCTTCCTTTGTTTCAGATTGATGAAGTTGCTAACATTAATGACATGGATGAATATATTGAGTTATTATATGAAGATATTCCTGACAAGGTTCGGGGTTCTGCTTTGATCCTGCAGCTTGCTCGAAATCCTGATAACTTGGAAGAACTACTATTAAATGGTGATTACCATAAAACATGTTTAATTATAATAGATGAATAAGTTACAATTATTTATACAAAACTTAAGACCGCATATATTTTCCAGCTCTTTATTTCTTTCTACTCAGATTTCTTTTTTTTTTTTTTTTTTGAGACAGAGTCTCGCTCTGTCGCCCGGGTTGGAGTGCAGTGGCCGGATCTCAGCTCACTGCAAGCTTCGCCTCCCGGGTTTACGCCATTCTCCTGCCTCAGCCTCCCGAGTAGCTGGGACTATAGGCGTCTGCCACCTCGCCCGGCTAGTTTTTTGTATTTTTTAGTAGAGACGGGGTTTCACCATGTTAGCCAGGATGGTCTCGATCTTCTGACCTCGTGATCCGCCCCTCTCGGCCTCCCAAAGTGCTGGGATTACAGGCTTGAGCCACCGCGCCCGGCCCTCTACTCAGATTTCTTAAATTGAGAGCATAGCATTTAAATATTCTCCGGAGAATTCACAAACCGTTTAATGTAAACAGGGAAAATTAAGCATTAATGGTACTATACCTTTTCTTTCTTCTACTCTGGGAAACTCTTTTATTGTTTCAATTAGAATATAAGATCAAACTACAGACATTTGCATAAATATATATATCATGTTTTATTAAAGTTACAGTATTAGTTTTTTCTCAGTAGCACAGGGAAAGCTATTAATCTTTGCAGCTTCATTGAGATTGAATTTCACATCAAGTATTTGCTTTCCTTTCACTGGAAGTACTTGGTAGTAACAAGAAAAGGAGATAGAATGTTTTTAACACCCTTTTCTCAGTAATACCACTATAGAATCATTTTTGTTTTGTTTTGTTTTGTTGTTTTGTTTTTGTTTTTGAGACAAGGTCTCCCTCTGTTGCCCAGGCTGGAGTGCGGGGGCACGATCTCTGCTCACTGCGACCTTCGGCTCACTGCAACCTCCGCCTCCCGGGTTCATGTGATTCTCCCGTCTCAGCCTCCTGAGTAGCTGGGATTACAGGCATGTGCCACCATGCCCGGCTAATTTGTGTTTGTGTGTGTGTGTGTATGTGTGTTTAGTAGAGACAGGGTTTCACCATATTGGTCAGGCTGATCTGAAACTCCCGACCTCAGGTGATCTACCCGCCTCTGCTTTCCAAAGTGCTGGGATTACAGGCATGAGCCACCGCACGCCCTGCCTATAGAATCATTTTAAATCCATAGTTTTCTGATTATACATTTATCAAAAACAAAATAGGAAAGATGTGTTTATTATCTGGTTTGCATTACATGAGAGAGAATATCTTTCTGGTTGTTGCCAAATACCTGGATAAAATAATTCAAATCAATAGTTTTCTCAATCAGTATTTTCAAATAAGTATTTCAAATGCCTTTTCTGCTATATGCTTGCCATTCTTTATGAAATAGGTAATTCTTGAAAACTTATTCTGTGGCAGATACTGTTCCATATTTTCATGGAATTGTTTTAGTGTTCCCTCTCCTTCTGTTCCATTGGTTTATTTGATTATTTACATACCGATACCACACTATTGTTGTGTTGTTTTTTATTTTGACTTGAACTTTAGAATATGTGGGAAAAAATGTTCCAAATTGCTTTCTTTCCCCAAGAATTGGCTTTACTGGTCTTGCACATTTGTCTTATATACTTTGAGATTACTTCATCATATTCTGTGAAAAGTCATAATGGGATTTTGATTATGATTGCATTCAATGTAGAAATTAATTTGGGATTGTCTTTTAACCTCTTGTAAACTATATTTTCTTTTAGCTGTTTCTTGGTAAACTGTGTACAACTCCTGTAACTGTATTTTTATTGAGATGTTTCTCTATTCTGTTTTAAAGGAGAAAAATGAAATAAAATTTTGCAAATGGGTCACTAAACCTATGCCTAAATTTATGACATTATAGAACAGTTCTGTATAGGCTAGTATTTTAAGAAATACTATTTTCTCTGGATTATAATGGTCAAATACCTTTGGGAATTACTAGATTGAACAAAGCTATACCAGATTCTTTATTAAATAGGACTTTTGGGAGGCTTTGCATGTTAATATGCATTGCCAACCTATTTACGTGACTCCAAAATAATTTTTTTCAAAGCATATACTATTCCAGTTCTCTGCATTGTGAATATGAATAATACTGTGAAATGCTATCATAGGATGATTTTTAATTTGCTAAAAAATTTGTCACTATGTGGATTCATAACTAATACAATTAATTTTTGTTCATAGTCCGAATAGCCAGAAAGCTCAAATATGGAACATTTTCATTACCATAATAAATACTTATAATGCAGTCCATAAAGTACTATTGTAAATCCTGAGTATCTATTAAAAACAGTGTAATTATGATTTTTATATTTTAACATACAGATATTTTATTTTGTTTTAATTATTTTAAGAATTAGTATGCCATGTACCAACCCAATTTGAAACTAGTGTCATTAATTTATAATTTTCATTTCCTGAAGAGAAAATTTTAGCAGAAATGCTTATTAACCTACCTGAAAGTTAATTTTGTGAAAGCTTTTTGTTTTATTTGCGGCTATTAGCATAAATTCAGTGTGATACTGAAATATTACATTTATTTTTCTGTGTATAGATTTTATTTGGTTTTTAATTTACTTTAATGGAACTAGTGTTAGACTACTAAACTGCTCTTTTTTTTCTAAACTTATTCAAGTTTTTTCATATTATCAAATACATTAAATCAGATGTTTATTAAAAAGAAAAAAATCAGTACTGCAGTAGTAAGAATACAGTTCTTAATCTTACAAATTAAGATTGCAGTTCTTAATTTAAGATTATTAAATTAAAAAATGAAAGGCTTTTAAATTATTTTATTGTTACCATAACATATATTATGTCACTTTATCTAAATCATATTTGATTACTTCTGTGTACAGTATATACTTGAAGTAACATGTTACGTATCTTTAAGTAAAGTTACATTTTGGTTTTAAAAGTAGCTGTCCGTATTGGAAAGAAGCATACTACTTTTTGTCCCAGTTCTATCTTAGCTTTGTTATTTATTAATAACTAGACATTTAAAACCAATCACCCTTTATACCAGAGCAAGGAGAATGATCATTTCGGTACTTCTCCTTTTTCTTTAGAAACTGCCCTTGGTGCATTAGCAAGGGTCCTGAGAGAAGACTGGAAGCAAAGTGTCGAGTTAGCTACAAACATAATTTACATCTTTTTTTGCTTTTCCAGGTGAGTATAAAAATTATTAAATCAAATGACTACTGTATCTCTATTGCTGTTTGTGTCATTGATTCAATTTGTAGATCACTCGTTCTCTCAGTTTCTCTGTGTGTCTGCCTATGCTGTACCGCTAAATTCTTATTCCTGTTTCCCATTTTCTGTCTTGCTATCTGTTATTCTATCTTTCATTTAGTCTATACTCATGCCTCAGTTTCCTTATGAGTAAAATTTGGATAGTAATAGTCGCACCCTCTTTGGATAGTTTTTCAGATTAAATGAATTAAATATTAAAATGCTTAGAATAAGGCCTGACCCACAGTAAGTGCGCAGTAAATATTATTGTTATATATATGCATGTATGTGCAAATACATACCTATTATGCATTCATATTTATTATTTATACACATATATCCTTAAGAAAGATGTTTATTAAAATGTTATGAAAAGTTCTAGCCAATTCCTAGAGAATTGCTGCTTCTGTTCTAAAAATGTGCTAGTATTAGCAAATAATTGTTTATTGAATAAATACTTGGATGAATGAATTGTCTAGAAAACATATGTAAAACCTAATTACTAGTACTTTACTAATTGATGTCAGTTTTACACAATAAATAAAATGTATGTCTAGTATTGATACATTATTAGTTTTTTAGACAATAATCCAAAAATCTATTGTGAATATCTGAGTAGTTAATATGGTGGTTAGTTACAAAAAATGTCTACTTTCTAACTTCTTAAAAATAACTGTATTTTAGGTAAGGGTAGTGTGATATATTTAAAATAATTTTATAATCTCAAGTCTTCCTAGTAGTGTATTGTTGATATATCTTTTAAAATATGTATATCAAATTTATTTTCTACATGGTTTGTACCACTGATCACCAAAAACAAATTTCCTGTACCCATAAAATGTATTCTTTTAAATATATATTAAAATGTCTTCTTTAAAGCTTTTCTCAGTTTCATGGACTTATTACTCATTATAAAATTGGAGCTCTGTGTATGAATATTATTGATCATGAGTTAAAAAGACACGAGCTTTGGCAAGAAGAACTTTCAAAGAAGAAGAAAGCTGATATCCTTTTAGGGTGGCATTTGAACCCTCTGTTGCCTTTTGCTATAAGCTTTGGATGGGTGGGATGGTTTTGTTCTTTTCGTTTTTCTTTTTTAAAATTGTTAATTGCATTACTTGGAAACAATGCAGAAGTGTGTTATTGAAGGTTAAGAAGTAGATTGAAACCGTCAAAATGAATACAGTTTGACATTCACTTTTTGTCTTTTAACAACCTGTATTAGTTAATGAGGTAGAAGGAGCAGGTAGTAGTTGTGTCGGGTAACTTAGTAGGTGAACCTCTAAAGGATTACATCATTACATCCACTATGATCCTTTGGTTAGTTGAAGCCTAGTTCACCGCTACTACTTACATACTTCTATGTGAGTACTAAGGTGACTTTGATTAGAATGGGTGTAAATTTGGTGATGAACCTAGTTAAAGGTTCTATTTTTCTAGGAAAGTGCAAAAATACTGTTGTTAATAAATAAAAATTTGAAAGGCCTATAGAATGATAGAACCTGTGAAAGAAAACTTAGGTATCTGTTTTAACCTATCTTGCAAATATAAAAATCTTTTCTGCAACATCCCTGGCAAATGGCATTACATAGGCTCTTCTTTAACAATGTCAGTGCTTATTTATTTCACCCATTCTGTGGTTTAGCATTCTGTTTATTATAATAGTCTTTTGCTTAGTGCACTGAAGTCCATTTCCCAATAACTTCTATCCATTGGTTCTAGTATTGCATACCAAAGCAATATGGAATAAGGATATTCTCTTCAACATCATAGTTCTTCTCATATTTGAAGATATTTATCATATTTTAGCCTCTACAACTTAATGCTTCTGGATCGGAGGCCCCTGGTTTATTCATATCTGTTCAAACATGATGTGTTTTGTAGATCAACTAGGCATGCTGGTAACTTTCCTTTGAATCAAGTGTTTACTGTGTCTTTTAAAAAGTGAAAACTTTATTCCTGTTGTGCAGTGTATCATACACTTTTAACTCTGCTTTGTGCAAAAGTGGACCTTACTTTTATATTAATTTTGGCCTCCGGAAACCCTGAGGCTTCAATTTAATCTGTGTTGTAATAGGTTAACTCAGGTTATTGTGTACAAAATCTCTCAGACTTTTATTATTGTCACATGGAATTCCAAGATGCTATAAAATCCACACCACACACAAGCTTTGACTTTTCTTAATTAGAATCTTTTCAGGTTTATAAATTTCCTGTGCATACCATAAACTTCTGGCATCTAGATTGACAGTGACTCAACTACATCGACAACCCAAGAATCCTAGAGACTTTACATCAGTTCTGGAGTCCCAAGACTCCTGAATGCTTCAGTGATACCTAAAATTTATTTAAACTGGAGAAGTATGCAGGGAACCACTAGTGGAACTCTAGCAATCATGAATTTGCATTTTGTGATTATTTGGTGACAAGAACTGATATCTTAGGACATACTGTATTTCTATATCAGACACCATTAATTTTAAGATTCACTATTGTTTAACCGCTAGGAGAGGAACATATGCTTTCAATTAAGCTATGACACATCATGGATTATAAGACACATCCCATTTTGGAGATGTTAAGATGTGAGGAAAATATGTCTTAGACTCAATAGATTATGGTAATTGAAGGGATATAAAAATTACATCAGAATTCTGGTCATTTCTCCTGACATGTTACTGTTTTATTATGTCCTAAATTTCTTTGTACTTTGATACAAGTGGTATTCAACAAGGTTAGCTGCATTGACTCATATTCTGGGGTCATATGCTTGACTCACATGCTGAAATAACTGATTATTTTTGCAAGGTGTCCAGGGGACGATTTGGGACCAAAAGATGTGATTTTTAAAATTTGTTTACCTTTAAGTTTGGTCTAGTTCTTTCTTGGCATCTCTAGTCTGAAAAGGCTGCTATAAAAGCTTTAGATTTACTCTATATCCTTTAAATATTCTGGGCCTCTGTCTGAAGTAAAATCCAGTGTTCTTAGTAACTAAATCATTCTCTGAGGCAGTAATATTTTTGGTTTGTGGACCCACTTGATAATCTGTTGAAAGTTATAGATTTGTGCACGTACATAAAATACATACAGTTTCTGGGAATTCAAGTATTTGGTGAGGTTCAAACATCTATATGATGTTAGCTGTGGGCTACATTAAAAAAAGTTTGTTCACCCAAGGACTCCTAGGGAATCCATGAGCACTTAGATAAGAAGTGCTGTTACAGCACAATTATTATACAGAGAACATTTTAGTTAAACTTTTGGTGAGAAAAATAACTGGATAAAGTTGCATATAAAATCTAATAGTGCCGTTGTTCATAGAATTTATCAGTAGATTTCTTTGCTTCAGTGAGTATGGATGATCCTTAACAAGTTGTTTACTTGATGAAGACCCTGAAAATCAAACCTTGAGAAAGGATTATGAAAAAACCTTTAAAAAGTACCAGGGGCTTGTGGTAAAACAGGAACAGCTATTACGAGGTATGAATTCCTAAGCAATGAGGAAGGCAACAAAGTACTTACTCTAAATACATTTGTTTTGTTCACTTTTTTATCATACCTGTAAAGCTAATGTGAGAATAACTGAAAGTTCTATAAATGTTAATATGCTACAAGTTCATCTGTCTTTAGCGTGGGTAATGTTTTAAATTTCACTCTACTATTTTTCCCCGTTTCGTTCCTAAATGTTTATATACTTATTATTTATTTCCTAAGAAAGGATTTTTTAATCTAGTGTGTGACCTTTTCAATGATAACAATCTTTGTCTCTTCAACCCTAACTTGTTTTATAAAGTGAATTATTTTATTGCTTTCCTAGGAAATTGATATAAAAATTTTAAAATATTTCTCTTGTTTAATAGAAAAGCATTCCTTGTCTCTAGCTTTATTAAGAGATTTAAAACTTCAATAGTATGGTTTTTTGGTTACTGATAAGATGTAAAATCTTATGGTGGTTAGTGATAATGACATGGGACTTTTAAGTGTGAATTTAATTCCTGGTTTCTACTTGACTATTTGGTGATTCATGTAGTTCATTGGTGTTTGACTAACTTTGTATGTGGAAATACTTGTTAACTCCCAAAATATTTTCATCCTGTGAAGATTATTAGCAATTTTAACTACACTGAGTTTTTTAAATATTTGAAGCCAAGTAATTTAGTTCAGCCTGTTGGAGAAAATGTCAGATTTTCAAAAGTTCATTTTAAAATATGCTAGAAAATAATAGGTATTATCTATGTTAGCATGTAATCCGAAATGCATCAGATCTCAAGAAAGCAATTGTTTTCGTGTAAAAGTTTCGAAGGACTAATTTGACTTTTTTAACATGCAAAAGTTTAAGCTCTGTTTCTAACCAAATATTTTATTTATGCAGATATTGTATACTCTTAACAGCTTTATTGAGGTATAACTGATAGAGAATAAATTGTATAATTTTAAAGTATATAATTTGATAAATTTTAACACATGTAAATACCCATGAAATGGTGACCATAATCAAGATAAAGTACATATCCATCACTCCCAAAATTTCCTCATACATCTTTGTAATCTCCCCTTTCCTTCTACCTTCTCCCTTCTTCCTCAATCCCAAGTCATCATTGATCTGCTTTCTGTCACTTTAGGCTAGTTTGCATTTTCTAGAGTTTTATATAAATGATATCATGTAGTATGTATGTGTTTTTGTCTTTTACTCAGCATAATTAAAGATTCATTCATATTATTGCATTTATCAAATAGTTATTAAATAGTATTTCTTTGTATTCACCTGTTGATGATCATTTAGAATATTTCCAATTTTTGGCAATTTTAATGCTGCTGTGAACATTTGTCTACAAGTCTTTGTATGGACATACACTTTCTTCTCTCTTATTTAAATACCTAATGATGGAATGGCTGAGTCATATGATAGGCATATGTTTAACTTTGTAAGAAACTGCCAGATGTTTTTCTATAATAGTCGTTTTTGTATTCTCACCATGAATATATGTGGTTTTGATTTGAATTTCTCTAGAGACTGATTATGTTGAGCATCTCTTGATGTGCTTATCTGCCATCTCTTTGTCTGCTGAAGTGTGCCTTCATAATTTTTGCCTTATTATTAAATTGGATTGTTTTATATACTTTACATGTTTTGGATATAAGCATTTATGCAGATACATGATTTCATTCTCCTAAAGTATCTTTTTAAGAGCAGAATTTTACATTTTTATGAATTCCAACTTAGTGTTTTTTCGATCATGGTTTTGGTATTGTATCTAAGAAGTCCTTTCCTAACTAAAGGTTACAATTATTTTCTCATATGTTTTCTTCTAGAAATTGTATAGTCTCAGAGTTTAGTTAAGCCTATAATACATTTTGAGTTAATTTTTGTATATGGGGTGAGGAATGGATGAAAGTTCTTCATGTTTTTTGCATATGAATAGCTAATTATGTAAGTACTACTTTTGAGAACACTATCTTTTATCTACTGAATTGATTTATATCTTTGTCAGAACCATTTGTCCATATGTGTCATGCCTATTTTTGGGTTTCTATTTTGTTCTGTCCATCATTTTTGTGTGTTTTGATGCCAGTAGCACAGTGTCTTCATTACCATAGCTTATAGAAAATTTTGATATCAGATGCTTTTAGCCCTACCAATTTTTTATTCCATTGATTTCTACTTTGATCTTTATAATTTTTTTTCTTCAGCTTACTTTGGGTTTAATGTGCTCTTATGTTTTTGGTTTTTTTGTTTTTTGTTTTTTGGTTTTTTTTTTAGATGGAAGCTGAGGTCATTTATTCAAGACCTTTCTTCTCAAATACAGATATTTAGTGCTAAAAATTTCCCATTAAGCACTTCTTTGATGGCATCCCACGGATTTTCATATGTCCTGTTTTCATTTTCATTCAGTTTAAATACTTTCCAGTTTCTCTTTTGGTTTCTTTTTTGACCCATGGGTTATTTAGAAGGGAGATCTTTTTTTCCCAAATAATTGATGTTCAAGTCTTTACATATGTTGATGTTTTCCTGTACTTTTTCTATTGTTGAGAGAGTAATATTGAAATCTCTGACTATGATTGTGATTTATTTATTGCTCCTGCACTTCTACCAGTTTTCACCACATATATTTTTGAAGCTCTCTATTCTTGGGGACATAAAGATGTAGGATGTAGATGTACTATTGATGAATTGTCCTGGTTATCAATATGAAGTGATCTTCATCATGGCTGGATATATTTTTTTGTCTAAAATCTACCTTTTCTTATATTAATCTACTTCTTGTGACTAGTGTTATCATGGGATATATTTGTCTATATATTTTTAATATATTTATGTCTATATTAAGTGTGTGTTTTTATGAACAGCATTTAGATTGGCTTTGCATGTGTGTATGTGTCTTTTTCCTCCTTTTTCCTTCTTGTCCACCTTCATATGAATTTGAGACTTTTTAAAATTCTATTTTATTTTCATTGTTAGCTTAGCTATAAGTCTTTTGTTATTTTATTGATTGCTTTAAGGTTTATATCACACATCTTTAATCATAATTACCTACAAGTGATACATGTTTAACTTATCATAAGTTAAGTCTGCTGTCAAGTATTTTGTGCCATTTCATGCTTAGTGTTACAATCACTTCTTTCCTCTCCCACCTCTATGCTAATACTAACATTTATTATACTTATGCATATGTTACAAACCCTATCACAAGGCCAGATGTGGTGGCTCACACCTGTAATCCCAGCATTCTAGGAGGCCCAGGTGGGCAGATCACTTGAGGTCCAGAGTTTGAGACCAGCCTGGGCAACATAGGGAAACCCTGTCTTCAACAAAAAACAAAAATTAGCCGGGTGTGGTGGCACATGCCTGTAGTCCCCAGCTACTCAGGAGGCTGAGTGAGGCAAGATAATCACTTGAACCTGGGAGGCAGAGGTTGCAGTGAGCCAAGATCGCACCATTTCACTCCAGTCAAGTGACAGAGTGAGACTCTATCTCAAAAAAAAAAAGCCAAAAACAAACGAAAAACCTTATAACACATTATCATTTTATATAAATAATCAATTTTATTTTAAATATATATTTACTAAGAAAATAATCTTATATATTTACTTGTAGAGTTACCATTTCCATTGATGTTATTCCTTTGCATAGATCCATATTTCTGTCTGGTGTCATTTTCTTTTTGCCTGAGCAATTTCCTGTAATGTTTCTTGTAGGACATACTTACCAGTGGTTAATTACCTTTTGTGTGTCTAAAAATGTCTTATTTTAAAAATATTTTTATCTTTTTGAAATATTTTCACTGGGTTTAGAACTCTAGGTTGACAACCTTTTTTAATACTGTAAGGATGTTGCTCCATTGTTGCCTTGTTTGCGCTGTTTTTGATGAGAAGTCTGCTGTCATGCTATCTTTGTCTATATATTAATATAAGGTCTCTTTTTCTTGGACTGCTTTTAAGATTGTCTCTTCATCATTCATTTTGAGTAATTTATTATGATGGACCTTGGTGTAATTTTCTTTCTGTTTCTTGTTTTTGGAGTTTAGGGAGCTTATTGAAACTCTGGGTTTATAATTTTCACTAAATTTGGAAATATTTCTGTTACTATTTTTTCAGGTACTTCAGGTAAACATATATTAGGCCACTTGAAGTTGTTCCACAGTTCTCTGAAACTCAACATTTTTTCCATGTTTTTCTGTGTGTTTAATTTTGGATAGTTTCTGTGATTATGTCTTCAGTTTCACTAATCTTTTTTTCTCCTGTTTCTAAACTGCTGTTAATTTCATCTAGTTTACAGTCTCAAGCATTGTAATTTTCAGTGATAGAAGTTTGAATGTTTTTTGTGGTATCTTCCATGTCTCTACTTAACTTTTAGAAGATCTAGAATACAGTTATATAACTTATAATGTTCCGTTTTTATAATTAAACTTTAGGACAATTCTTGGACAGTTGCAATTGGTTCATTTTTCTCTTCCTTGTGAGTTATAGTCCCTGCTTCTTGTATGACTGATAATCTTTGATTAGAAGCAAGACAGGGTCAGGCGCAGTGGCTCATGCCTGTAATCCCAGCACTTTGGGAGGCCGAGACAGGCAGATCACCTGAGGTCAGAAGTTCGAGACCAGCCTGACCAACATGGTGAAACACTGTCTCTACTAAAAAATACAAAATTAGCCAGGAGTGGTGGTAGATACCTGTAATCCCAGCTACTCAGGAGACTGATGAGGCAGGAGAATTGCTTGAACCTGGGAGGTGGAGGTTGCAGTGAGCCGAGATCGCATCATTGCACTCCAGCCTGGGCAACAAGAGCAAAACTCCATCTCAAAAAAAAAAAAAAAAAAAAAAAAAAAGCAAGACAGTGAAATTTACATTGTTGTAGGTGGATTTTTTATTCCTAAAAATATCTTTGAGTTTTGTTTGGCAACATAATTAAATTACTTGGAAACAGTTGTCTCCTCTTGGATCTTACTCTTATAATTTGTTAGTCTGGACAGAAGCAGCATTTAGTATAAGGCTGGTTATTTCCCACTACGGAGGCAAGACCCTTCTGAGGACTCTACCCACTAATGCATGAATTATGAGGTTGCCAGTATGGTTGGTAGAAGCAGGCATTATTTTCAGCTTTCTTCTTCTACTCCTCTCATTTTGTTCTGTCCCAGCCTCACTTAAATTCCTATGCTCCCATCAATACTCAACTCAATATTTGAGGGAGGCCTCTGTTAGAACTCCAGAGTTTCTCTCTGCTCAGCTCTTTCTTCTTCAGTACTCTTTTCTGTGAACTCCTTGGCATCTCTGGATTCTTGGCTTCATCTCCTTAACTCAGGGATACTATCAGGTTCTGCCTGGATTCTCCTTCACTGTGTTGTGACCTGGAAACTCTCTCAAGGCAATATTCTAGGATAAACATAGGACTATCTCATTTATTTCTTACCTCTCAGGGATTACTGTCCTTCCTTGTCTGGTGTCCACTATTGTGAAAATCTTTGTTTTGTGTATTTCAGTCAGGTTTTTTCGTGGTGTTGTCAGGCAAAGGTTTAAAACCCCATCCTATTAATTTCCTGGGGTGCTGTAACAAATTACCATAAACTGGATGGCTTAAAACAACAGAAATTTATTCTCTCATAGCTCTGGAGGTTGGAAGGCCAAAATCAAGGTATCATCAGGCCCATGTTCTCTCTGAAGGCTCTGGAAAAGAATCTTCTCCTGTCTCTTTCTAGCTTTTGGTGGGTCCCAGCAATCTTTGGTGTTTCTTGGCTTTTAGCTACATCACTCCAGTCTCTGCCTTTGTCTTCATATGGCCTTCTTCCCAATCTATCGGTCTCTGTTATGTCATCTCCTCCTCTTCTTAAGACACCACTCATTGGATTCACAGTCTACCCTAATCCATTGTTACCTCACCATAACCAGTTACATCTGCAAAGACCCTATTTCCAAATAAAGCACATCCTGAGGTTTTGGGTGAACATAAATTTTCGGAGGATGATATTCAATCTGCTACATCTATCTTGGCTGTAAAGAGAAGCCTGTTTGTTTTTTCAATGTAATTCTAAAACCTTTTGACAGTGCCTCGTATAGAAAGTCAGCATAATGGAATAGTGTAAATATGTGAACTTTGGATCTGATAGGCTTGAATTTCAATTTAGCACACTTTCTAGCTGTATGGTAGGGAAAGTTATTTAATTTCTTTGAATCAGGGGTTTCCCATCTGTAAAATTTTTATAATACTTCTTTCTTCATAAAACTGTTTTAGAATTTAAATACACTTTATACATCAACAGGCCTGGCATACAATAGATACTTTTGGCCTTCCACCCTCCATCTCTAATATTTGTTAAATAAATAAATTTTATATTTATCTACTTATGAATATGCATATGCATGTATTTCTTCTTTTCATAAACATTTAGAGGTAGCTGGCAAGAATACATGAAGTGAAACACTAAAACAATGAGGCCACAAGAGAGCAAAAAGACTGTATTGAACATAAAAACCTACATAATTCTTACAGAAATTGAACTCTGAAGCTCCCTGTCAATCAAGGAAAAATGGAAAACATTATCTGTTAATATCGTTTTCACTATAAAAAGAGAATAAGTTTCCTTTGAGAACCTAAGCATTTTTATTATACAAATCTAAAAGAAATTTTACTTAAAACTAGCAAACAGTGGCTTCAACTCTGTCTAGTGCAATAATTGTCTTACTAAATTTCATAAGGTCTTTTCTTATAGTGACTAACAGAAAATCGGTTTGCATATGAAAAGTCGATTTTAGTAGGCTCAAATTTAGCTGTAGCTATACTGTATATTTTGGATTATTGCACTTTTTAACACAGCAGACTTTAGGTGTTAAAGTTTTATAATATGTTATCTTGTTTTCTATATGTATAAAAACTATTTTCCCCTGTCTGCGTTATTTTTTCCTGACTTATCTACCTTTAGTTGCCCTTTGATTTCTATTAAACTCTAAGCTCCAAGAGGGCAGGAATCATTGTTTTATTTTGGTTATTGTGTCCTTCTCAGAATTGTATGAATTATTTTTTATATATATGTTTTGTTTTAAATACACACACACACACACATACACACACACATATATCCCATTCAGTAACAATAAATGGTTTTTAATTAACCAATTACTAACCAGTTAAAATTTTCAAAATAATATATTAACGTTTTAGGGCTATCTCTGTTGCCTTGGTGAGTAGAAATGATTTTCTAAATTGTTGATTCAGTTTACTAATTCTTTAACTCTCGTATATTTCATTTTTCTAGTTGCTCTTTATTTGCTTCTGAATCTTGCTGAGGATACTCGTACCGAACTGAAAATGAGGAACAAGAACATAGTTCACATGTTGGTGAAGGCCCTTGATCGGGACAATTTTGAGCTGCTAATTCTAGTTGTGTCATTCTTGAAGAAACTCAGCATTTTTATGGAGAATAAAAATGATATGGTAACTTACAAAGATTTTTCTTGAAATAGTTCATGTTTGCCATTTTCAAATTAAAATATTTTGATAAAAATTAAACACTTTATTCCCCTACTGAGATAATTCTGAATAAAGATTTTACCATAGCAATAACTCACTGTTATTGCTTCATTAAGAAATGTATTCCATATTAGTCAATATTCCAGATGATTGGACCTTTCTGAATAAAAATCATTTCTAATATATAGAATGGATCTTGCCATATTAAACATAATATATAGAAAGTTTGTTTAAATTTAAAATTTTATTTCAGAGTCACCTGATCTTGTTATTTTACCCTAAGCTATTTTGCCTTCTGCATCTCCAACTTCAGTTTGTGGAATTAAAATTTAGCCAGATCTCTTCCTTGTTACCCATACTTCCACTTTGTTACCTACAGTTCTTTGTTACCTGCTGTTCTACTTGGCAGCCACAACCTGTTGATTCTGCTTTTTAAAAATCTCTTGAAACTTTAATATTTCTTCCTTTCATTATTAGTGTCATTGTATTAATTCCCTCTTTATTAATTTATTAATTAATACCCTCTTTGTTCATACCTTCTTTATTTCTTGATTGAATTATACTAGCCTCTCATTTGCCATCTTTTACTGTGTTGATGCAATGATCTTTGGGAAATACAAGTTGAGCATATATCATTTTCACCTGTGTAAAATATACATAGTATAAAAATATATAAAGATAAAATAAAAATTCTCATCTGCTTTTTACCATGTCGTTAAAAAGTCTTTGTTATGTACAATAATATAGTCAATAGATCATATATTAACCTACCTTGTTTTCAGATAACTGAGTTGTTTACAATTTTATCTATTACAAATAATTCTTCACTGCACATATTTGTACATACATATTTGTCTATATTTCTGCTTATTTTCTTGGAGCAGGTTCCTATAAATGAAATTATTGGATCGTTGACCTTAACTCCATTAAGGATAATTTTTATAACTATATATCATTATGTGCTGTGTATTACTGGCAAAAATGGCTTCTCCTTTAGATAGTCTAAATATATAGTATGTCTGCCTACTCTATTTTATTTTAAAATCAAATGAACTAGGAAGTAGCTATACTATAGTGAATGATATGGCAGGCCCTTTGAAAACCTGAGACTTATTCATCAGATTTAATAAGTACCTTGAATTATAATTATTGAATGTATGAAATTTTATTTTTCCCATATATATTTAGTATCTGTCATTTTCATTATCAGTATATAATTATTTATGTTCATGATGTGCCTGAGATTATTTTGGGATTGACTCTTCTTAGATTAATCAAACATATTTTTTGTTTTCACTATATCTAAGAAGAATATGATAACATGGTAGTATATAAACAGTCCTGAGTAGTTAAGAGTATGGCTAAATAATTACTTCCTCTTGCTATAAATTGAAGTATGTTCTTCTATTTGTGTGATCAAATTAAGTTCACTTTTAGTAAGTTTTCAAAATTCAAATTGATTTCTATCAGCATGTATCTATTATATATGTATTAGAGTTAGATTTAACTAATACAGTTACGTGTTTATTCTATCAAAAAGATCTTGACTATTATTAAAAGTTATTTTCTGGGAAGATGATAGAATTGGAATATATGATATAAATTGTCTCATTAAACCTCATTTTTTATTGAGGAGGAAAAACTGAGGTTTCGAAAAGTTTGTTATTCTTCTAAGATCAAGAGAAGTATTTGATTAGCCAGATTTTTACTATAGATGATATGGATTTTACTTTTTATTGTGGAAGAAATACACTTAATTTAAGGACATCTGTAGAATCAAGATTTTTAGAATTTGACTGGACCTTAAATCCAAGGCCAGATTTAGTGAATCTATAGCCTCCCAATTTCACAGATGAAGTAGGAGAGGACCAAAGACATTAATTTGCTTGAGGAAGCAGATCTCTAGATACTGAACTTCCTACTCTTCTTCTTTGCCTCCTGGGAAAAATAGTTTAGGTCTTTTTTTTTTTTTTTAAGACATTTTTAGTAAGATTAACAATAAGCAGTTTTTAAATGTTTGTTTCCAGGAACACTGAGAAAGATACAATTAAAGGCTGAAACAAACTTGCTGATAGATTGTTGGTAAACCCTCACTTTACATAGACTGTTTAATAAAAATACTAATTATAAGTTCTGTGATATAGAAAGAGACTTGAGAAGGGCCGGGCAGGATGACTAATGCCTGTAATCTCAGCACTTTGGGAGGCCAAGGCAGGTGGATCATCTGAGGTCAGGAGTTCGAGACCAGCATGGCCAACATGGTGAAGCCCCATCTCTACTAAAAATACAAAAATTAGCTGGACGTGGTGGTACTCGCCAGCCATCCCAGCTTTTTGGGAGACTGAGGCAGGAAAATCACTTGAACCCAGGAGGCGGAGGTTGCAGTGAACTGAGATCATGCCACTGCACTCCAGCCTGGGCGACAGAGCAAGACTCTGTCTCAAAAAAAAAAAAAAGAAAGAAAGAAAAGAAAGAAATAGACCTGAGGGCATTGCATATTGAGGTAGTTATTAAATTTAGCTCTCAAGATTGGGTTTTTATCAACCAAAAAGACATGACTAGAAGGCTGTGTTAAATGCTAGTCTAGTGTTTAAACATCTGATTGTCTAATGGCACATATTTCACATTCTATTCTGTGCAATAGAAATACAAATTAATAACCGGCTGGGCATGGTGGCTCACACCTGTAATCCCAGCACTTTGGGAAGCCAAGGCAGGTGGATCAGTTGAAGTCAGCAGTTCAAGACCAGCCTGGCCAATGTGGTGAAACGCCATCTCTACTAAAAATACAAAAACTAGCCAGGTGCGGTGGCACACACCTGTAATACCAGCTACTCAGGAGGCTGAGGCAGGAGAATTGCTTGAACCCAGGAGGTGGAGGTTGCTGTGAGCGGAGATCATGCCATTGCACTCCAGCCTAGGTGACAGAGTAAGACCCCATCAAAAAAAAAAAAAATTGTTAACAAACTCTGCAAGTTTTTTTAATTAAGTTTTGCTGTAACAACCAGTGTATGTATATACTATTGCTTTTTCAAAAGGAAAATACCACCTAATATAATTAGTGACAATTGAAGCTTGTGACAGTTTTATTTATAAAAGGAATAAGGAGATGGTTGAGCTATTTGTGAGGTAGTATTATTTATTTAAATCAAGTGTTTATTTTACTCTTGATGTGAACTAATACCAGCCTTGCTTTTAGACAGTTTTTAGAGGAACAACAGAGAGGATATATGTTGCCTAGTTTGCTTAATTTTCTTACTGCTCACTTTTGAGAATTCTTTCTGTATTTGGATACAAGTTGTTTATCAGTTACATGTTTTGCAAGTATTTTTACTTTTCTGTGGCTTCTTTTCATTCTCATATGAAAAGCAGAAGTTTTTAATTTTCGTGAAGTCAGCATATAAAAAAAATTTAGTGGACTGTATTTGGGTGTCATATTTAAGAAATCTTTGTCTAACCCAAGTTGACAAAGATTTTTTCCTGTGTTTTCTTCAAGTTTTATAGAGGTTTTTGTCATCGTTTTTGTCTATGATACATCCATTTTGAGTTAATTTTGTATATGGTGCATGATATGGACCAAGATTTATGTTTTTTAATATGGATATCTAGTTGTTCCATAACTATTTGTTGAAAAGATGCTTTTATCCATTGAAATTGCCTTTCCATGGATCATGAGGTCAGGAGATCCAGACCATCCTGACTAACACGGTGAAACCCCATCTCTACTAAAAAATACAAAAAATTAGCTGGGTGTGGTGGCGGGCGCCTGTAATCCCAGCTACTCGGGAGGCTGAGGCAGGAGAATGGCATGAACCCAGGAGGCGGAGTTTGCAGTGAGCTGAGATCGCACCACTGCACTCCAGCCTGGGCAACAGAGCGAGACTCCGTCTCAAAAAAAAAAAAGAAAGAAAAAAAGAAAAAAGAAAATTTGGCCATATATGTTTGCTTCTGTTTTTAGACTCTGTTTTCTGTTCCATTAATCTATGTGTCTGTGCTTTCATCAATACCTCTTTCTCTTGATTACTATAACCTCATAGTAAGTATTGAAATCAGGCAGTAAGAGGCTGCCAATGTTGTTATTCTTTTTCAGAGTTATTCTATTCCGTATTTTTCCATGTACATTTTAAAATCATTGGGATTGCATTGAATCTGTTGAGGGGATCAATATATTGACCATATTGGATTTTTCCAATCCATGAATATGGTATAGGTTTCTATTTATTTGGGTCTTTTTTGATTTCTTCCATCATTTATAGTTTAGCATACATATTTTGCACGTATTTTTTTAGATTTATACTTAAGTATTTTACCATTATAAATGATAGTTTTAAAAAATTACCCATTTCTTGGTTTTGGTTGATAGTATATAGAAATATAATTGATTTTGCGTATTGACTTTATGTCCTGTGACTTTCTAAACTCACTTTTTAGTTGTACTGACTCAGATTTTGGAGACTTTCTAAGTGGATAATTGTGTTATCTGCAAATAGAAAGTTTTGTTTCTTCCTTTCTAATCTGTATGATTTCTATTTCTTTTTCTTGCCTTAAATTGCACTGGGTATGCCCTCTTGTTTGATGTTGAGAAGGAATTGTGGGAGCAGCTATCCTTGCCTTGTTACTGATCTTATGAGGAAAGCAATGTCTTTCACTATTAAGCATGATGTTAACAGTAGGGTTTTTTAGATACTTGCTATTTCTTGCTTCCTGATACTTTTTATCATCAATGGATGTTAAATTTTGTGAAATGCCTCCCTGTATCTATTACTGAGATAATCATATGGGTTTTTCTCTTTAGACTGTTGATATAGTGAGTTACATTGATTGGCTTTTGAAGGTTTACCAGTCTTGTATTTAGGGTGTAAACATTACTTGGTTGTGATATATTGCTCTTTTATGTATATTGCTCTTTTATATATATTGCTAAGTTTTATTGGCTAATTATTTTTGAGAATTTTTATGTTTATGAGGCATTATTCTATTGTTTTCTTTTCTCCTAATGTCTTGGTCTGGTTTTATTATTACAGTAACTATGTCCTCATATAATGAGTTGGGAAGCATCCCTTCTTCTTTAATTTTTCTGGGAGGGTTTGTGTAGAATTGGTATTATTTCTATATAAATGTTTAATAGACTTCACCAGTAAAAAGTCATAGGCCTGGGATTTTCTTTCTGTAAATTGGTTTAATAGATATAAGACTGTTTAGGTTATTTCTTCTTGAGTGGTAGCTCAGTAGTTTGTCTTTCAGGGAATTTATTTCATTTATATGCTATCAGATGTACATATAATTTTTGGTACTGTTTCCTTTTTATCTCTTTGTCTGAAAGGCTAAAGTGATTTTCTCTGTTTTATTTCAGATATCGACCTTTTTTTTCTAGATTAACGGTTTTTCAATTGCTTTGGTATTTTCAAAGAAGCAACTTTTATTTTGTGTTTGATTTTTGAAAGTCTTTGGCGATAGAATTATACCCTATAATGAACAGCTCCAGGGTAGGACTACAGTGTGGCTGTGGAGTGTAGATAGAAGTCTGAAGGAAAAATCAGGTGTAAATTTGTCCCTTTAGCAATTTAAAAAAAATTGTGTTTATTCCTTGGCATGGAGTGAAAGGAAAAAAATGTATCAAGGGCTCAGTTATTAATGTGATTTTTATGAGGTCAGTGAAAGATTGCAACACAGATATGAAATGGGTAGTATAAATAAATATTTTAGATCTCCAATAAAAGAAAAAGTAGAGCACAATTAATTATAAATCCTTTGATTAAAAAATCATAAAAACTTTTTCAAATTTCTTTCTTTTTTGCCATTGCTGTGTAACTAAAAGACATGAGATGTTTTTACAACCAAAGTTTTCTGATTGCTACCTTAAAAAAATCTGAATGCAGGGCTTCTTTTACTAAATAAGTTCTGTCCTCTATGACTATAAAGTAAGTTCTCTTAATGCAATTTTATGATCTTCTAGAGCAGGGATCTGCAAACTTTTTCTACAAAGGGTCAGATAGTCAATATTGTGGGTTTTACAGGCCATATGATCTCTCTTGCAACTACTAACTCTGCCCTAGTTGTAGCGTGAAAGCAGCCGTTGACAGTCGATAAACAAATGAGCATGGCTCTGTTCCAGTAAATATTTATTTATCAAAACTGAAATTGGAATTTCATATGATTATTGTATATCATGAAATATCGTTCTTCATTTGATTTTCTTTTTCAGCCATTTAAAATTGTTAAAAGCCAAAAGCCATTCTTAGCTCATAGGCTGAATGGAAAGATAGCAGGCCAGATAGGCCCACTAGTCATAGTTGGCTGATCCCTGTCCTAAAGTTTCAACTATTACTTTTAGTCTAGCTTCTTTCCTGGGTTTTATATGATTTTTAAATATTCACTGAATACCATCTCAAATGTCAAAAATTAAAATAATATTTTGCCTTCATTATCCTAAACCTCTTTTTCCATTTGTCAGTTAACAGAAAATAATCTACCTTATTGACCGTACAGAAAAGGACTCTGATACTGCTGTTTTTAAATAGGCCTTTTACAAGTTGGTGCTTGGTTAGTGTCTAGGACTTTGGATTTTAGGAGTATTCCTAGTCTAGGAACAAATCTGACCACATCACCCCCTGGACTTAAAATCTTTCAGGACACTTTACTGCCTGCGTAATAATGTTAATCTTCTTAGTACAGCATTAAAAGCTCTTACAATTTTGTATAGATCTGTCTTACAGCCTTCTGCCAATCTCCAACATGTACTTTATACTATGATTATACTAAATCACTTGCAATTCCCTAACAAGCTCTTTTATTCCTAAATGCTGATTCACTGACTTTTTCTTCAACTTGTATTGCCATTGCCTTTCTGAACCAGAGAACAAATTCGTAGTCATTTTTTTTTTTAACTTTGTTCCCAATTTGAAGTCTTCTGTTCTTCCAGGTGAGTTGGTAGTTCTGTCCGTGCTGTTTTCAGAGCATTTTGTTCATTCGGTTTTTATCATATTGTATTTTCATTATTCATTCTATTTGTCTACTTTTTTTTTTTTTTTTTGGAGACGGAGTCTCGCTCTGCCACCAGGCTGGAGTGCAGTGGCGTGATCTCGGCTCACTGCAACCTGTGCCTCGTGGGTTCAGGTGATTCTCCTGCCTTAGCCTCCCAAGTAGCTGGGACTACAGGCATGTACCACCATGCCCAGCTAATATTTGTACTTTTAGTAGAGATGGGGTTTCACCATGCTGGCCAGGATGGCCTCAATCTCTTGACCTCGTGATCCACCTGCCTCAGCCTCCCAAAGTGTTGGGATTACAGGCGTGAGCGACCATGCCCAACCTACTCTCTTTTTATACTGAGGAATCCTTGAAGGCCAAGATGAGGTCTTTACATAGGACCTGGTACTTAGTAGGTGGTGTTCAATAATGCAAAGTGTTTTCAAGGATCAAATGTAATTTGTCTTCCAGTTGATGGAATTAAATGAGGGAAGGAGAGGATGGTGTAGCATATATACTTTCTCCTCAAAAGTTTGATTTCAGCAAAGTTTACAGATTGAAATGGACTATAAGATTAACATATAATTATAAAATAGGTATACATTATGGTAAACAAAAAATAATTATATTATTTTTGTCCTATTTTACAGCAGAACTTCACTGTATGTGTATTATTATTTTACTTAGGTGGAAATGGATATTGTTGAAAAACTGGTGAAAATGATACCTTGTGAGCATGAAGACCTGCTGAATATCACCCTCCGACTTTTACTAAACCTCTCCTTTGACACAGGACTGAGGAATAAGATGGTACAAGTTGGACTACTTCCCAAGCTCACTGCTCTCCTAGGTATGCTTTTTAAAAATCAATGACAGTGTTGCCTGGAATTTCCAACATCACTAGAAAATTGAGCTCTGTGTTGAAAAATCTCCTGAACAAAAAGCATTCTGTCTGTATTCTTTGATTGGAAACTAAATAATAAAAATAAGCAGAATAAGTAAAAAATGATCTGTACCAGGATTTCCATGGTGCTATGGAATGAAATAAAATAGCTACTTTTAACCCTTTGACTTCATTTATCCATACTAAGCCAAAATGAAAGTAATGATGCAAGGAAAAATAAGGAAGCGAGGAAGCAGTAAGGAAAAAAATATTTTGTCTTCAGGATTTTTCTTAAAAAAGGAAATAAAAGCAGGTATCATTTACGTTCTTATATTCTGCTATACTTTTAAAATACTACTTAAAAATGAGCTAATTTGTGGAAACTTTTTGTTATTAAGTTAAAAGGGTTTGTTTTTTTTTTTAAATAGAGAGTCTCACCTTATCACCCAGGCTGGTCTTGAACTCCTGGGCTCCAGTGATCCTCCCACCTCAGCCTCTAAAAAGGGTATTTTGTATAGCAAGACTTAGAAAGTACTGTATTGGAGAATTCAGTTTATAGGTTATTTTGTATCGGCTGCCAGCAAGATGGTGAGTTGAAGAGTTAACATTGTGCAGTCAACATAATGCTAACTTTCTTAGTAGGGCATTAAATCTCTTTACAAACTACTCAATTTCCATCTTTATGGGCTCCTGCCAGTTCCCAGCATATACCTTCCACTATCACCATACTGAAACACTTGCAGTTTGCTAAATAAGCTCTTTTATGCCTAAGTGCCTGTCTACCTGTTTTATCTGCTTTTTTCCTCTACCTGCAATGCCATTGCCTTTCTTAACCAGAAAGCAAATTGTTACTTATATCTTAACTCTTTGTTCCTTTGTTTCAGTACTGCAGTTTCATTCTTTTTTACAGCTTTCTCCATATATTCAAATACTGCACAACAGTGTTATTATACATTTTAGAAGTTAGTCTATTAAGGAGCACTTTCAAAAATTGGTTTTTGAGAACCACAGCATTGTAGATATTTGAGGATAAATAAGGAAAACTTTAAGAGTAAAGTTGATTGATCTTGAATTTAATTCATGTGACCTTTCCCTTATTATAAATCTGACATAATTATGTGTCACGTATTAGGTCAGCTTCCCAATGTATGAAGATAAACATTTTACACCCATTGGCCTGAAGGAATTCATAGTCTATTTGGTTTGTTCAGTTTCCAGTCATGTACTTTTATTAAATAATTGCCTTGTAATATATGATAAAATGTGTGATTTAAAAGAGATTTTTAAGAAATCACTCATGCGATACCCACTTCATAATTTGTTAACAAGTAGTAAATTTTGGGATATAAGATATAATACCCAATATATAAATTAATGTTTTATCTCTTTTGGAGCTCAGTTTCCTTAGTCAGACTGTTTTATTAGAATTGTGACTGTTTACATCTAACCATGTGACCTTGGGCAAGTTATGCAAACTCTTTGTAATTCAGTTTCCTCATCTCTTAAATGAAGATAATGACTATATTCAGCTTAGAGTTTTTGAAGATCAAGTGAGGAATTGCCTGCAAAGTACCTGACACATAGTATTTTCTAAGTAAATGTTGGCTACTGTTATTTTCCTAATCAACATCATCATTCGTTATGAAGTAGACATTCTGTAAATGTTGCTGACTTATGTTACTCTGAGTACAAGCACTTTTCGCAAAAGTCTTATATTTTTGTTGACAAACTAGTTAATTTTTTAAAAACATTTTACTCTTGAATATGCAGTACAATTTAATTCAGTAAAATGTTGATACTCTACCATGGCAAAGCACAGCGCTGAGCACTATAGAGAAATGTTTTTCAACCTACAGATACATTGGAATTCAAAAGAGATGATGTTCCCATATTGACACTTTATAGATAAGGTTTCATTTGAAATGGATATTGAAAAATTTGTCATTTTCACAGGGTGATATTTATAAAAGAATAAGAATTGAGGCTGTAGAAAGTAATTAAGATAAAGCAGTAAACATTACCTAAGGCATAGATGGAGCTAGGCCAGTAGGAGGAACAAGTTGCCATTTCAACTTGAGCATAGAATATGACTAAGTGAAAGATAACATTTAGAAAAATGGATTTATGCTTTTAAGTGGTATTATAAAGTTTAAAGCATTGCTAAGAAGTTTATACTTAAACTGATGGTGGGAATCATTGTAAACTTATGAGCTAGGTAGGTTATAGTCAGAAATCTGATAAAGGGAAATTAATCTGATGTATTCTATTTGGTGGACTCACATTAGAGTCTGAAGATGAGATCACTAGCCTGTTGTAGTAGGCAAGACAAGAAGTAAAGAAAACCTCATTTATAGAAGACATAGTGTGTCCAGTATGAGGCAAAAGGAAAGGGCAGAAGGGATTTGTCATAGGTGAAATGAATATGTTATAGTTACTGTTTGGATGTGGGTAATGATAGGAAAAGAAGTCATAAAATATATTACTATTAGATTGCTAGTGCCAGGAACAGAAAGAGAGAAGTGTGAAGGAACAGGGATATGGAGAATTGCATGCTTTTCTTAAAGGCTTCCACTTTGAAGTGACAAATTCTTATTGCTTACATTCTGTTGTTATGTAAGCAATAACAATGCCTGGAATGAGTAGAACTAGAACATTGGTGAGCAAGAAAATGATTCTGAAAGTTATTTTGGGGTTTTCAGGATTACCAGAATCTCTTAAATAGTACATCCTGACACATCATAGCAAATCCTACAGGACGTAGTCAGTCTGGCAACTGTGGTAGCCCAGAGCACATTGATTAAAGCTAGGACTGTGGAACCAGACTATATGCCTTTGAATATTGGCTTCATCTGATACCAATTATGTAATATTGTGCAATTACCTAAACTATATGTCAGTTTTCTTGTCTCCAGTATGTAGATAATAATAGTATATATTAATAGGGAAAAGTTAAATGAGATAATGCAATATTACAAAATTACAAATATGTGAAATTATCATCAAAATAAAAATACATAGATCCCAAAAAACTAGATATCTAGAAAGGATCTTTTTTGATAAGTTCTCCAGGCTTATATTATTAAGGGTATTTAATCATTTCATACACAGGTATCTTAGGTCGTCCAGGATTCTATAAGGGAACAGACTGGGTGACTTAAAACAACAGAAATTTATACTCACAGTTCTGGAAGCTGTAAAGTTCAAGATCAAGGTGCCAACAGATTCAGGGTCTGGGGATGGCCTGCTTACTGGTTCATAGACAGCTATTTTCTCACCGTGTCCTCACATGGCAAAAGGGGAAATGGAGCTCTTTGAGGTGTCTTTTCTAAAGGCACTGTATGGTTTGGCTGTGTCCCCGCTAAATCTCACCTTGAATTGTGGTAATCCCCATGGTGCAAGGGCAGGGCCAGGTGGTAATAATTGAATCATAGGGGCATTTTCTGCATACTGTTCTCATGGTAGTTGATAAGTCTCACCATATCTGATGGTTTTATAAATGGGAGTTCCCCTACACAAGCTCTTCTTGTCTGCCACCATGTAAGATGTGACTTTGCTCCTCATTTGCCTTCAGTCATGATTGTGAGGCCTCCCCAGTCTTTATTTCTTTATAAATTACCCAGTCTTGGGTATGTCTGTATTAGCAGCATGCCAACAGACTATCACAGGCACCAATCCCATACATGATGGCTCTGCTTTCATGACGTAACCACTTCTCAAAGGCCCCAGCCCCAAATATTATCACATTCAAGATTATGTTTCAACATAAGAATTTTGGGTAAACATAGACATTCAGTTTATAGCAGAAGGTCTTTTAAAAATCAATTACATCTTTGTTTTCTAAAGTATTTTCTTAAATTTACTTTAATATCTTGAATGTAATTTTAAATTTTAGTGAGAAGCAGTATAGTGTAGTGGTTAAAACCATGGGATTTGGAGCCAGAGTCCCTAGGTTCAAAGGCTATATGTGTGTAGCTATTATTGTTCTTACTGTCATTTATTCAAGTTTGCAAGTCTGAAGATAATTTATTATGCAGGGCCATAAATATTATTACCATGCCCAAGGATTTCCCCTTGCTAAATGGCCCCAGAACGCCATGTATTTTTCATTTTTATATATAATTTTTCTGTTTTTCCCCTGGCCTTAGCTGTCACTTCACATTTCTTCTGTACCAGCAGCATTTCTATAGCAGCAATTTTTCTCTCCTATAATAATCTATTTCTGTTCTCTTGTGGTCTTGGAAACTGACAACTGAACTTACTTGAATTGTATATTTTTTAAAAAATGAATTCCAAATGAGTTCCCCAAGGGTTCTCTTCCTAGTAATGTTCTTGAGTGTTACTGCATGGACCTTGTAACATTTCTTTTGACTCTGAAGAAACTGATTTTGCTGGATTGTATCTCTCTGCTATGTTCACAGAAATTGCATTTAGTGTATAACTGATTTCCTGATATTACTAGAATGGTCATTTTTACATTTGTTACTGTATAAGTTACATGTGTAGACAATTAAATCATTAACTCCTAACACAATAAGCTAAACTTCTCAATTGAGTAATTCAGTGATACATTTAACATATGTGATCTTTGGCTACAATGCTTATACAAAAGATATAGTAAGGAAACTGTGTTATAAAGGACATGAATTTGAAAGGGATAGGAAAAATTTATTTAGAGCACTGACTTTCACACATTCTTTACCTCAATCCATAGTAAAATATATTTTTCCTAAGGTGAAAAAAGTATATTATTTTAAATATGTATTTTACAGTGTAGCCCAACCCTCACATGTGTATGTGATGTGTATATGTTTGTATACATGTATATTCACGTGTGTATGTCAATATATATTACATATTATTTTTGATATATATTTAAAAATTTGTTTAATATATGTAATTAAACAAAAATGTTCACAAAACAGTATTTACCTTTTCTATGTGCAATGGACACTTCGTATTTTATTGTA